CTTGGTTTTCATATCTAAAGTGGAACTAGAACTCACCATCTCCTGGGGACTGGTCCAAAGTCACCCAGCTGGTTTTAATGCTTAAGATGGGACTAGAACTCACCATCTCCTGGTGATAGTCCCAGAATCACCCAACTTGGTTTTCATGTCTAAAGCGGAACTAGAACTCACCGTCTCCTGGTGATAGTCCCAGAATCACCCAACTTGGTTTTCATGTCTAAAGCGGAACTAGAACTCACCGTCTCCTGGTGATAGTCCCAGAATCACCCAACTTGGTTTTCATGTCTAAAGCGGAACTAGAACTCACCGTCTCCTGGTGATAGTCCCAGAATCACCCAACTTGGTTTTCATGTCTAAAGCGGAACTAGAACTCACCGTCTCCTGGTGATAGTCCCAGAATCACCCAACTTGGTTTTCATGTCTAAAGCGGAACTAGAACTCACCGTCTCCTGGTGATAGTCCCAGAATCACCCAACTTGGTTTTCATGTCTAAAGCGGAACTAGAACTCACCGTCTCCTGGTGATACTCCCAGAATCACCCAACTTGGTTTTCATGTCTAAAGCGGAACTAGAACTCACCATCTCCTGGGAACTGGCCTAAAGTCACCCAACTGGCTCTCATGCCTAAGACCGGACTAGAACTCACTATCTCCCGCTTTCTAACCTGGTGCCTTAACCGCTAGACTAAATTGGCTCTCAATATACAGCAGAACTTAAAACAGGCATTTTTCCAAGCGTGCAGAATTTATTTTTTTTTACTCTTTTTCAAAATGCATTCAACAACAACAACAACAACTACAACAACATTCGAAGTGACAGGCTTTTGTTGTGATGTCTCCAAGGGACCAACCCAGGGCAAGAATAATCTGCTCCAGTTGAATGCCGAATAGGTCACTTTTTCATCCCTGGAGGGGGGTGGCGGGAGAGAAATCCACCCGCCCCCCCCCCTCTTCTTTCACCAACTACTTTGTCATGCTGAGGTTGCTGCTGTCGACATCCGGCTCTAGTTTCCTTGTAAATCCTCCTTTTGGGTGTTCCCTGGGTTGTGTCTCCGGCCAGCCAATGACGCCGAGAGAGCGTGCGTTTCTTTTGCACAGTCATGCTGAGCTGGGGCTCGGAGAAGAAGAAGAGTTCTTGATTGGCCAAGTGTGATTGGACACACAAGGAATTTGTCTTCGGTGCATAAGCTTTCAGTGTACGTAAAAAAAAAAATACATTCCTCGTGAATCATAAGATGCAGCACTTAATGATAGTCATAGGATACTAAATAAGCAATTAAATCATACTGGGAAACTTAATAAAACAATATAAATCGTAAATATGCAAGCAACAATAAGTGGGAGGAGATAGGTCATAGGAAGGATAACAACAACAACAACAACAACAACAACAATAATAATAATATAATATAATAATAATAAATAAAAATAGAAACTCAAGATCTCGTGGGACTTTAGGATTCAGACTGACAGGCACTTGGTCCACAACACACCTGACATAACAATAGTTGAAAAGAAAAAAGTATGGTTCATTGACATTGCAATACCTGGTGATGCACGGATTGAAGATAAGCAGCAAGAAAAAAATCACAAAGTACCGGGACTTGCAATTTGAAGTTGAGCGACTGTGGAAAAAGAAATCGTGTGTTGTCCCGATTATAATTGGAGCCCTCGGAGCAATACCCAAAGGGCTACCCGCTATTTAGAAATCCTAAATTTGCCGGACTTGAACATTTTGACTCTACAAAAAACCACCTTACTCGGAACAGCTTACATCCTCCGACGATACCTTAACAGTTCCTAGGTCCTTGGTTAGGACTCGAGCTGCTGAGCTATTAACCAGCCTCAAAGGCTGTGAATCTCACTAAAGATTAACCAATAAATAATAATAATAATAATAATAATACAGTCTTAGTAAATAGTTTGACAGTGTTGTGGGAATTAGTTTAGCAGAGTGATGGCATGTGGGGAAAAAACTCGTTGCCTCTAGTTGTTCTGGTGTGCAGAGCCCTATAGCAATGATGGCTATATTTTAAAATTTTTAATGGGTTATTTTATGGGGAAAGGGTTTTAAAATTTAGGGAAGCCCAACTGATTTAATTTTGTTTTAATTCTTTTTAATTTTTATACCGTATGTGTCTTAAATTTTGGCTGTTCACCGTCCTGAGTCCTTCGGGAGAAGGGCGGTATACAAATTTAAAAAATAAATAAATAAATAAATAAATAAAGGCTAACCTTTTCCAGACTGAGTGTGTGAATGCATGCCTGCGCAAATGTGCGGCCAAAGCCCTAAAATGCAATGCGCGTGCACCCCCGCGCATGTGTCCCAACCCCCCGTGCGTGCGCACAGGGCCCCACACATGCACCCTGCCTCCACGCATGCATGCATCCCCACACACACGTGCCCCACCCCCTGCGCATGTGTGGCAGAGACCCGAAGACAAGCTGGCCGGTGGGAGGCCCGCACGCAAGCGTGGCAGAGCTGAACTGGGACGACGGCTCGTGTGCCATCAGAGCGGGTGCTGCGTGCCACCTCTGGCACACCTGCTATAGATTCGCCATCACGGCCCTGTAGCGTCATTTTGAGGGTAGGAGTTGAAACAGTTTATGTCCAGGATGCGAGGGGTCTGTCGATATTTTCCCAGCCCTCTTTTTGACTCATGCAGTATACAGGTCCTCCATGGAAGGCAGGTTGGTAGCCATGTTTTTTTCTGCCGTTCTAATTCTCCTCCGAAGGCTGTGTCTGTCTTGTTGGGTTGCGGAGTGTTTCCGGCCAGCCAATGACGCCGAGAGTGTGTTCCTTTTGCACAGTCATGCTGAGCTGGGGCTCTGTGAAGATAGCAGAAAGGAAACCACTTGACTCATTTTGATGGGCTCAGAATGTGAAATCACCTCATGGGGTTCTTTTTATCTCGACGGAGAGGCACAGAAGGACTTATTTTTGGGGGAGGGGGCAGGCAGTCCACTGAGCTGCCTCTCGGTACCCCGAGACTCAAACCTGCCGACACTCTTTGTCTCTGCAGAAAAATAAGTTGCAGGATGGGTTTTTTAGAACGTACAATCCAGTGGTGGGTTCCTCCCGGTTCGGCCCGGTTCGGCTGAACCGGTAGCGGTGACGATATGACATCACCGAACTGGTTCTCTTTGTTCGGGAGCTGCCTTACACCATTTCAGACAAATGATTGTTCGATCTCTTCTTCTTCTTTTTTTTTTAACAGTTTATTTATACATTTTCATTTAACATAACACAAGTGCTTTGTGAATAGTGTATTGTCTGGGTCAATTTGCTTACATAGTAATCCTTTTCCAGCTCATAATTTCTACATCTGTTCTCCAAACATTTATAAAAAGAATCCCACGTTCGAAAATACTCTGTATATTCTTTTCCTTTCATCTTTAATGTCAGTCTGTCCATTTCTGCACAATCTAATATTTTTTTTCAATGACAGCTTCATCTCTCGGTATTTCCTCATTTTTTCCAGTACTGTGCAAATACAATTCTTGCCGTTGTCAAAACATGTAGTATTAAATTCCCCTTATCGTACTTTTCTGGTATTATACCTAACAAAAATATTTCCCGGCTTATAATCTATATGCCGCTTTAACATTTTTTTCTAACGATGTGTGTATTTTTGTCCATTGTTTCTTTGCTTTCACACATGTCCACCAGATGTGACAGTAAGTGCCTGATGTGTTTGATCTCTTCTTAAAAACATCCAGTGATGGCGCACCCACAAACTTTCGAAGCTAACCTCTTACAACAGGAAGGACAGTTTCTTCCTACAGACTAAAGTTTGTCATTTTCACGAAATCTTCCAGTTCTGGGAGAAATTCACCATGCAACAGCCTTTGCTCCCACTAGTGTTCATTTTGGCTTATTTTTAGGGACATCTGAAGCAAAAGGCGTGGGGTTCAAACATCTGATGGGATTGAATTACATTTCTTTTTTAACTCTAAAAAATAGCCGTTTTGATTATTCGGGAGTTGTTGAAGTTTGCTTCTTCGTTTTAAGAACGCAAATGAATTCCTTTCCATCTGCAGAAGTTTTAACTATCTGATTTCGAGCTGAACTTGTAAACTTTGCACCTTCAGGGATAATGTAGTTGGTTTTCTGAATCTGCCTCTGGAATTGCTGGGGAAAAGAAGTATAAATGTTGGGCTAAATCTGAGTACAAAGGTTTTCTGAGTTTTAAATCAGCTGCTGGAACTGCTGTGCAGCCAAAGCATTGTCGATGCTATTAAATCCACGATAAATCTTCAATGTGATCTTGTCGTTTGGCCAAATTTTATATCTCGTACTGATCCAGCAAGCTGAGACTTGGGTTATACTGGATTGAGAAGTTAAGGATTTGGAGCAAAGCTGCCTGAACATGTTTCCTGGCGGAATTTAACTTGCAAGGCAATTTTGATTTGGAAACTTTTGAGCCGTACCTTCCTACAAGAAGGAGTTGGGAAAATGAGTGTTTCTAAAAGGAGAATAAATTCTTCATTATGGTTCCGAGAATGGATGAATGGCTGCAAAAATTGATGGAGTTAGCAGAGATGGCTAAATTGACTGGTTTGATCAAAGAAAAGAAAAAACAAACAAACCTACAATCACTTTTATTTCTACTTGGAAACCGTTTCTGGACTTTGTGCTCGAGGTAGAAAAAAAATGTTCTCGTGATCAAAATTCAGACACTTGGCAACTGGCTCATATTTATGACGGTTGTAGTGTCCCGGGGTCACTGATCCCCTTTTGCGACCTTTTGAAAAGTCAATGGGGAATTCGGATTCACTTAACAACCGGTGTTCCTATCTTATCCACAACAGTGATTCACTTAACCACGTGAGGCGGGATAGGTTGTAAAATGGAACAAAACTCACATAAGAAATGTCTCACTGAACAATATAAATTTTGGGCTCGATTGTGGTCATAGGTCGAGAACTCCCTGTAATATATTTTTCTTTCCTGCACATCCGCGGATGGATGCATCATTCCTCTCTCGCTTACCTTTCCAGGTGGCATCGCCGGAGGTATTGAAATCTGCATCACATTCCCCACTGAATACGTCAAGACCCAGCTGCAGCTGGACGAAAAGGCCAACCCACCACGCTATAAAGGCATCGGTAAGGCTGGGCAGCCCAGAGTTTCCATCAACCCACCAATAGCAATAGCACTTAGACTTATATACCGCTTTACAGTGCTTTCCAGCCGTCTCTAAGCGGTTTACAGAGTCAGCCTCTTGCCTCCAACAATCTGGGTCCTCATTTTACCCACTGCAGAAGGATGGAAGGCTGAGTCGACCTTGAGCCAGTCAGGATCGAACTCCCGGCAGTGGGCAGAGTTAGCTTGCAATACTGCATTCTAACCACTGTGCCACCAGAAAGGAGAATGAGAAAGGGAATTACGAGAGGAAGGGAAGGGAAGGGAAGGAAGGAGGGAGGGAGGGAGGGAGGGAAGGAAGGAAGGAAAGAGGGAGGAAGGGAAGGAAGGAAGGAAGGAAGATAGCAATAGCACTTAGACTTATATACAGTACCGCTTCACAGTGCTTTATAGCCCTCTCTAAGCGGTTTACAGAGTCAGCCTCTTGCCTCCAACAATCTGGGTCCTCGTTTTACCCACTGCAGAAGGATGAGAAGGCTGAGTCAACCTTGAGCCAGTCAGGATCGAACTCCTGTCAGTGGGCAGAGTTAGCTTGCAATACTGCATTCTAACCACTGTGCACGATGGATGGATGGATATATCTTATAAAGGATATCAGATATCCTTTCATTTTGTCTCTCTGTGTCTTTGTCCTGTTCTCCACATTTACATGCCTGTTTCTTTCTGTTTCTCTGTTTGGAGAGAGTTGTTTTTTCTTATTAATATGGGTATTTTTCCTCCTTCTTTTCTTTATGCGCAGTGGACTGCGTCCGAGTGACGGTCAGGGACCATGGGATCAAAGGCCTTTACCGAGGCCTCAGCTCGCTGGTGTATGGGTCCATCCCGAAAGCTGCCGTGAGGTAAACATCTACTGGTGGGAAGGGGGTTGGGTGTGATGTGAGGACACAGATGTGAGGACAATCAACCGATGGAACAGAAGTTGCCTTCGGAAGTTGTGGGAGCTTCATCACTGGATGAAGAGACTGGACTGCCTTCTGTCGGAAGTGGTGTAGGGTCTCCTGCTTCTGCGGGGGGTTGGACTAGATGACCTATAAGATCCCTTCCAACTCTGTTAATCTGAATCTATCTAAGATGATCAAAGATCTGGAGACTAAAACGTATGAAGAATGGTTGCAGGAACTGGGCATGGCTAGTCTAGGGAAGAGAAGGACCAGGGGAGACAGGAGAGCAGTCTTCCAATATTGGAGGGGCTGCCACAGAGAGGAGGGGGTCAAGCTATTCTCCAAAGCACCCGAAGGCCAGACAAGGAATAATGGATGGAAACTGAACAAGGAGAGATTCAACCTGGAAATAAGGAGAAGTTTTCTGACAGTGAGAGCAATCGACTAATGGAACAGAGAAGTTGCCTTCAGAAGTTGTGGGAGCTTCATCGCTGGAAGCTTTCAAGAAGAGACTGGACTGCCATCTGTCTGAAATGGTGTAGGGTCTCCTGCTTGGGAGGAGGGTTGGACTAGATGATCTATAAGGTCCCTTCCAACTGTTAATCTGGAATTTCAGAAAGCTTTTGGAAATTCCCTTCTCCAAAGTTTCATCAGAATAACTACCACAGACAGGTGTGCGATGCATGGAAGGAGAGTGCAGAACCTTTGGAGTTGAAAATGTTCCAAGCTTGAAAAATTAGTTTTGAAGCTTCTAGATATGGGTCAGTTTTAGGTTGATCAAGTTTTCTTTCCTACAGATAGTCCTTGACTTAACAACACTGAAAAAAAGTTGACTTAGGTTCGTGTTTCACACTTAACGACCGTTGCACGGTCATGGAATCAAAATTCAGACACTTAGCAACTGACTCGTAATTATGACGAGTTGCAGGGTCCCTAGGCCCCGTGATTCCCTTTCGCGACCTTCTGACAAGCAAAATCAATGGGGAAGCCAGATTCACTTAACAACCGGGTTACTTACTTAACAACTGCAGTGATTCGCTGAACACCCGGGGCAAGAAATGTCGTAAAATAGGGCAAAACTCACTTCACAAATGTCTCACAGAAATGTTGGGCTCAATTGTGGTCATAAATCAAGGACAACCTATCTTGGATTGCATATTTGACCTGAGAGTTTTGTAATCTTAAGGAATCTTATCCTTATTATGTTTCCTGGATCATAAACATTTTGGGGCATTCAGTATCCCTTAATTGGTTTTATTCGATGTCTTAATTCCGTTTGGAATTTGCTGGTCTGTGCCTGGATAAAGGAATTCATTGATTTATTGCTTCATTTGCCCTACAGTGATGAGCTAAGCAGTGATTTATAGCTTAGTCTGTTATATGCTGGTCTGTAATCCTAATAAAGGTTTGATTTGTGGGTTATCTAGACTCAGCCAGTTGTGAATTCAACAAACCGGGTTTAAGCAAATCTTAGCTTTACTCGGCGATCTGCAATGATTGGAATGGCCAAGGTTGAACAAGCCAAGTTGGCGTGATCCCTTGAATCTTGGTTTAGCAGGGGCTGTTTTCATTCATTTTTTTACCCCTAGAAGGAACAAATAATAGCTTTTGCTGGCACTTTGTGACTGGCTTCTCTCTTTTACCTCATTCCTGACTCAAAGTTTAGACACGCCAGATTTTCTGTGTGTGTACCTAGCGATGGGCTGGAGAAGGGACAATCGGGTTGTGTAATGAGGATTTATTTGAATAAAGTCAGGAGGGAAGAGAGCGGGAGATAAGTCAGGAATATTTAGAAATGTTTGGTTTGGGGTGGGGGGGGTGTGTGGATTTCATCCCTGCATTCTCAAATGAGGAGAGGGGGATTTTGTCCCCAAATTTCAAGTTTAAAAAAAAGAGAGTTTGGCCCCAGATTGTAGTTGGGAGTGGGAGAGAAATTGTTCCCCATATTCTCAAGTAGAGGGGATGCAATTCATCCCCCCAGATTTTTTGGGGGGGTGGGAGACAGAATTAGGCTCCAGTGGGGAAGGGGAGGATGGGTGGGAGGATGGGTATTGGTCTCTGTACTCAATAGAGTAGGGTAGAGTAGAGTAGAGTAGAGTAGAGTAGAGTAGAGTGGAGTGGAGTGGAGTGGAATGGAATGGAATGGAATGGAATGGAATGGAATGGAATAGCATAGAATAGAATAGAATAGAATAGAATAGAATAGAATAGAATAGAATAGAATAGAATAGAATAGAATAGAATAGGTGGAGTAGAATAGAATAGAATAGAATAGATGGAATAGAATAGAATAGAATAGAATAGAATAGAATAGAATAGAATAGAATAGAATAGAAATAAGGAATGGAATGGAATGGAATGGAATGGAATAGCATAGAATAGAATAGAATAGAATAGAATAGAATAGAATAGAATAGAATAGAATAGAATAGAATAGGTGGAGTAGAATAGAATAGAATAGAATAGAATAGAATAGAAATAAGAATGGAATGGAATGGAATGGAATGGAATGGAATGGAATGGAATGGAATAGAATAGAATAGAATAGAATAGAATAGAATAGAATAGAATAGAATAGAATAGAATAGAATAGAATAGAATAGAATAGAATAGAATAGATGTTACCCAGTTGGGTCAAGAAACGCCTGCAAAAATACACCGCCAATCTCAGAGAGCACCAAGAAAACCCCACAGTTCAACCCTAAGCTACACAATTTCTCTTCCTATCATTAAAATGAAGAAGCTCTGTCTGTATTGGCAGAATGATAAACGCACAGTGTGCAACAGTGTTGTTTTAGTAGACGGCCTTCATTGTTCTACCTTGGGCCCACCAACCTCCTCTTCTTCATTCCCCCCTACACAGGTTTGGCATGTTTGAGTTTCTGAGCAACCACATGAGAGATGCCGATGGAAAACTAGACAGCACGCGTGGTCTTCTTGCCGGTTTGGGGGCCGGCGTGGCTGAAGCCGTGGTCGTGGTCTGCCCCATGGAAACCATCAAGGTAAAAAAAACCTTGAAAAGAAAGAGGACACGTGTTTGTGGACTCCTTGTTCCTTGAGAACAACCTTATTTTCAAATCTGGAGGTGCCGAGAACGGGAGTCAGCAACCTGCAGCTCTGGAGCCGCATGTGGCTCTTTCATCCCTCAGCTGTGGCTCCCTGTCGCTCAAAATATGCATCACAACCGCCAATGTGCGACACCTATCGGCACGCGATTTATTGAGCTTTTCAACCCCCGGTAGGCCAACCATGGATAAATCCAAGAAAAGAAAAGTTTCAGAAGAAAACAGAACGTTTAATTCAACTACATATGCTAGTTTTGTGGCTGCTCAAGAAATAGTCAGGCACGGGAAGGGTTTTGTGGCTCCCGGTGTTTTCTTTTCTGTGGGAAACGGGTCCAAATGGCTCTTTGAGTGTTTAAGATTGCTGACCCTTGGCCGAGAACCATCTCACATCCTTCTCTGGAGTCACACTTATTGTTGTCTTCTCTGCTACCCTTCTTCTGCAGGTCAAGTTCATCCATGACCAATGTTCTCCCAATCCAAAATACCGGGGTTTTTTTCACGGCGTGCGGGAGATCGTCCGGGAACAAGGTGAGAAACGGGGATCGTTGGTTATCGACACAACATCTTATCTTCTTTTTCTATCTGCAGAATTGGAAATTAACTGGGTTTAAATATCAGTGAAGCTGGGTGGCTTAGACTTATTTAGAAGAAGCTGAACGTAATGCATATAATATAGGAAGCTGTTGATTTACGGTCACAGTGGAGCCCAAAATTTCCATTGCAAGCAAGACAGTCGTTAAGTGAGCCATTTTATGTCCTTTGTTGCCATCATCGTTAAGTGAAAACGCAATTGTCAAGTTAGTGACGGGGTTGTTAAGTGAATTGTGGCTTCCCCATTGACTTTGCTTGTCAGAAGGCAAAGGAGAGAAGGAGAAAGAGAGGAGGAGAAGAAGGAGGAGGAGAAGAAAAGGAAGAAGAGGATGAGGAGAAGGAGAAGGAAGGAGGAGAAGAAGTAGCAGGAGAAGAAGAGGAGGAGGAGAAGAAGAAAGGAGGAGGAGAAGGGAGGAGAAGGAGAAGAAGGAGAAGAAGAAGAAGAAGAAGAAGAAGAAGAAGAAGAAGAAGAAGAAGAAGAAGAAGAAGAAGAAGAAGAAGAAGAAGAAGAAGAAGACTACTTGGAGTCCTGAGGAGGAGGATTTGTCAAGTTAGTGACGTAGTTGTTAAGTGAATCATGGCTTCCCCATTGACTTTGCTTGTCAGAAGGCAAAGGAGAGAAGGAGAGGAGAAGAAAAAGAAGAAGAGAAGGAGGAGAAGGAGGAGAAGAAGGAGCAGGAGAAGAGGAGGAGGAGAAAAGAGGAGGAGAAGGGAGAAGAAGGAGAAGGCGAAGAAGGAGAACAAGAAGAACAAGAAGAAAAGAAGACTACTTATTAATTTCTGCTGTTTTGGAGATGTTTGTGGTGCTGTTGGACTTGTTACGAGCTGTAGTTTGTCTAGTTGGAAAATTGTCCACTTTGGCAAACCTGGTGTAGATGTTCCTTTTCTTTGGTTACTCTTTGGAGGGGCTGACATTCCTGGTTCCAACTTAGCCAGAAACGAAACTTAGTTGTCTCTGTGTTTTTTTGACCAGGAAATTATTTCATTTTACAATGCTGGACTTTCCCTCTTAACTCTTCTGCCGTCGTCTTTCCCTGTCTCTTGTCTTGTAGGGTTGAAAGGAACCTACCAAGGTTTAACCGCCACGGTCCTCAAACAAGGATCTAACCAAGCCATCCGTTTCTTCGTCATGACGGCTCTTAGGAACTGGTACAAAGGTAATTTACGTCCCTCTTTTAAAAACCAATTTCTGTCCCTTTTCCTCTGATATTCTTCCAATTTGCCCTCTTTAAGTCCTGAATAATGTACAGTTTTAACTTTGGAAAACGTTTTCTGGAACCAAGCCATAATTACAACACACCCAAACGGGACTTTGGATGTTCCTTTTGCTGATATTCCTAAAAAGTCAACAACAGCTTTTTTCTTAGAAGTTGTTGTAACTTTGAACGGTCATTAAATCATCATCTTCTTTTAACAAACCCCATAATCCCTTGCGGGGTGGAGTCTGGGCAACTGAATGGAGCTGAGTGTGCTGAGTGATATGTTTACTGGCCGGATGCCCTTCCCATCGCCAATGCAGAGTTATATTCAGCAGATAATATTCTCATTGTGCCCAGAGAGAGAAATATCTGCCCCTACTTTGGATCGAACTCACAGCCTCCTGATTGTGAGGTGAGAGCTCCACCTCTAGGCCACCGCACCCACTCTTTGAACGGTCATTAAATGAGCTGTTGTAAATCGAGGACTACCTCTCCAGGTAGCTCATTGGGTTGTGTTTCTTCTCTGTTCTACTTGGTTGAAGTCGGACAACCTTAAATCAGTGCAAATACAGGTAATGAAAGAAGCCAGATTTGTATTGAAGGAATAACCTCTCCTTCCCTTCCCTTCCCTTCCCTTCTCTTTCTTTCTTTCTTTCTTTCTTTCTTTCTTTCTTTCTTTCTTTCTTTCTTTCTTTCTTTCCTTCCTCTCTTCCTTCCTTCCTTCCTTCTTCCTTCCTTCCTTCCTTCCTTTCTTTCTTTCTTTCTTCTCATCCATGTTTGTACCTTCCAGGAGACAATCCCAACAAAGAGATTAACCCACTTGTGACGGGATTATTCGGGGCGCTCGCCGGGGCTGCCAGCGTCTTCGGTAACACCCCACTAGATGTTGTGAAGACGAGAATGCAGGTAGGAACATACTACCACATGTGGTGGACATGTGCAGCAACAAAAAAATACTGGATAAGAATAAGAAAGCGGTTAGAGGAAACAACTAAACAACAAATAGAGCTAAAGCCAGAGCTATTCCTATTAGGCATACTTACAGGAAACTATGACAAAAAAACTCAATATCTAATATTACACGTAATAACTGTGGCTAGGATAGTCTATGCACAAAATTGGGAAAACAGAAATATACCGTCAGATGAAAGTGTGATAAAGAAAGTGTTATAGTGCGCTGAGATGGATATATTAACAATGGAAATAAAAGACAGAGGAGAAACTGAATATTATTTGATATGGAATCTATGGTATAACTGGTTAGACAATAGATGTAAAGATTAGGAAATTAACAAAGAAAGAGTATAATAAGCAGCAAGAATAATCTACGCTGAGAATTGGAAAAATGATAATATGCCATCCAAAGATAATCTGATCAGAAAAGTTTTGGAATGTGCGGAGATGGATAAATTAACAAAGGAGGTACAAGAAAAAGAGGAAACAGAATATTGCTTAGTGTGGGAGAAATGATTTGAATGGTTGGAGGAGAGAGATAAAAGGAAGGGAAATATTAAATAATATTCGAAATAGGAGTTGAAGTATAATTGCTAATATGAGGAAACAAAAATTGTAGAAATAGAAGTGGGTATACAGGTATTTTTATGTAAATAAATAAATAAATATTAGAAGTATATGTATAAAAGATATAATAGAAGTAAGGGAGGAAAAAATGTATAAGTATGAAATTCTTGACTGATGCAAAACTTGAAACAGAAAAAGTGTTAAAGCTTTCTTTTTGTTTTTTTAAAAAATGTTTAATATTAAAAAAAAAAACAGAAAGAGGATTAAGAAGCTAGAAAATAGTAAAAAGTATAAAGATAAAGATAAATGAAGAACATGCAGTGTTATAGTAGGATAAGGTGTGATATAAAATGTGAAATGTTAAAAAACACTTAGAGTAATAACTGTAAGGTATATAAATGAACATATTAGTATATATAAGGGAGCCACATGTATATGGGGGGGAAATGTATTTACACCGGATATATACCGATATTGAAGTGTTGCAAAGATGATGGAAATCGTGATATAAATTGGGTAAAAAAACTGCTTAATAAAAATTAAATTAATCAACGAGAATGCAGATAGGATGGGATTTTAGCAACTCTTAGCTATGGGTCCCCACATCTGTGTAGCCCATAGCCTCTACAGGCACAGGATATAGGACTGAGCCGCCTTTGAAGAGATCAGAAGAATGCAGAGGGTTGATCTGTGACCTCAATGCACCTTTTCCTAGATCCAACAATGAGGAGGAGGTCAAACTCCAAACGTCTCTTTGATTAACTAAGCTGTTTTTCAGCTTAGCCCTTTCGCCTAGTTTGGAGTGTGTGAATTAGAGAGCCTCTAACTCGTATGAAAGCAAGAAAATATTGGAAGAAAATACATACTGGTTTAGCAAAGAGGATTAAGCAACATATAGATCTGAAGCCAGAAATATTTATATATATATTTACTTATATTTACTTTGGCTGTGCACCGCCCTGAGTCCTGTTTGGAGAAGGGCGGTATAGAAATGGAAACAAATATATATATATATAAATTTTTAAATTTTCTTTTACAAAACATTCCATCGTTCATTAAACTGTGTCGTCTGGGTACAAATTTTTTTTTTGTGTGTCGTAACAGTTAAAGCTTAGCACCATATTCATTATTTATATCTACTCTTAATGCTAATACTTAACATATCTGTTATCATAACATTTCTCTCCTTAACTTATAAGTTATATTAACTTATATTAAATTATAGTCTTACAATAAAGTAGAATTCGTTTACCTGGGCACGTTGGGAATGCTGTCAGCAAACAGAAGGGACATTCAGTTACCATATTTTTCGGAGTATAAGACACACTTCCCCCCCCCCCAAGGGTGAAAATTTAGGTATGTCTTATACACCAAATGCAGCCCCGCCCACTCGCTGGCCCCCACCCTTTGGCCTCTGCTTCCCAGCAATTTGCCTCCTTGCAGCAAACAGCCTGTTTCAGCTTCAGCACAGCCTGATTAGCACAAGCAGCTGATTGTCAGTTAGATCGGCCTCCCGACCCTCAGCTGTTTCAGGCTGCCGGGATTGCCATTGCCTATTGCTGCGCGGGCCTCCTGCGAGCAGGCAAATTGCTGGGAGGCAGATTACTTCTTTCCTTGTGCTAATCAGGATGTGCTGAAAATGAAAGTAAAGCAGGCTGTTTGCTGCAAAGAGGCAAATTGCTGGGAGGCAGAGGCAGATTTTTTTTCCCCTTGTTTTCCTCCCCAAAAAAGGTAGGTGCGTCTTATAGTCCGGAGCGTCTTATACTCCGAAAAATACGGTATGTTTCTCATTGAATTTAGAACAGAAGTGAAATGGGTATGACCAGCTGGAGCCCCAAGTGAGGCAAGCGGTTGAGTTGCTCCGTGCCCAACGTCTTCTCGCCGTTGCTAATCCAACCTCCCCTTTCTTCTCCTGTCTTTCTCTTCATAGGGCCTTGAAGCGCACAAGTACAAGAGCACCTTCAATTGCGCCTACCAAATTATGAAATACGAAGGACCTCTAGCGTGAGTTTGGCATGGCTTTGAAAGATAACAAGGGTGGTGGGTTTCACGGGGAGGCTTACCCCCCAAGAGGAGTGAGCAACCCACAATCCACTTGACTCTTCTTGGGTTCATAGTTGATATATCTCCTGTTCCTCTTCAGACAAAAACAGTTATCCAACATCTTCTTAAAAACTTCCAGAAGTTGTGAATGCTCCAACACTGGAAGTTTTTAAGAAGATGTTGGATAACCATTTGTCTGAAGTGGTGTAGGCAGGGGTGTGCTATTCAGCAGGTTCTGACAGGTTCTGGAGAACCGGGAGCGGAAATTTTGAGTAGTTGGAGAACCGGCAAATACCACCTCTGGCTGGCCCCAAGAGTGGGGAGGAAATGGGGATTTTGCAGTATCCTTCCACCCTGGAGTGGGGAGGGAATGGGGATTTTGCAATATCCTTCCTCTGGAGTGGGGAGGGAATGGGGATTTTGCAGTATCCTTCCCCTGGAGTGGGGGGGGATGGGGATTTTGCAGTATCCTTCCCCTGGAGTGGGGGGGGAATGAAGATTTTGCAGTATCCTTTCCCCTGGAGTGGGGAGGGAATGGGGATTTTGCAGTATCCTTCCCTTGCCACACCCACAGAACCGGTAGTAAAAAAAAAAAATTTGAATTCCACCACCGGGTGTAGGGTTTCCTGCCTAAGCAGGGGGTTGGACTAGAAGACCTCCAAGGTCCCTTCCGACTCCGTTATTCTATTTCTATTCTGTTCTTCCTCTCTAGGTTCTACAAGGGGACCATTCCTCGCCTGGGAAGGGTCTGCCTAGACGTCGCCATCGTGTTCATCATCTACGATGAAGTGGTCAAAGCACTCAACAAAGTGTGGAAAACGGACTGAGAGCAAGTGAGCCGGGTGGGGTCATCTAGCCCCCACCCCCCCATCAGGCAACAGCTGGGACAGAGTTTGTGACCAACTGCAGAAGACATTCGGAAGGGCGGTGTGTGCTTCTTCATTCTTTCTTTCTTCTCACTGGGAGCGGTGCCACACGGGTCCTCTTGGCCAGAGGACACGATTCCAGTCCCCAAATCACTTCTCACTTTTCGTAATACTTATTTATCGAAACGGATTGCGGATGGATGGATCCTTCTCATCGTAATGGTCCATGACGCGAGACCGCCCGGGGGGGGGGGTTCATCACAAAAGGGTCCCGGAAATGAATTCACGGGTCATCATCAGATAGTTTTCTTCTACTGGAGGGCCCGCGAATGACCAGTGAGTGGGGGGTTGGGTGGGGAGAGTGGTTTTCTTCGGTGCTCTTGAAAATACACATTCTTATTGGCTTTCTCACTTGTTCACTCACGGAAGACAAGTCCTAGACACGCCCTTCCTTTTCCCAAAAAAACCCAGATTGAGAATCGTACAGATAGCACCATTCTCCACCATCCATGGTGGGATGGGTGTATCTGTGTTTGTAGGTGCTGATTTGTTTTTCTAGTGCCGTTTTGATTTGACGCTTTTTCCACCAAAAAAGATCGAGGTGGAAACGTAAGGAGTAACAAAAGGGATTTCAAGCTGTTTTATGGTGATGCATAAGGGGGGAGTCTGAAGGATTTTCCTCAACCTGTTGCTTCCCAGCTCCGTAGAACGAATGGGTAGATCTGTTAGGACAGGGGTCTTCAACCTTGGCAACTTTTAAGACTTGGTGGACTTCAACTTTTAAGACTTGTGGACCTCCAACTCCCAGCAAAGCTGGCTGAGGAATTCTGGGAGTTTGAAGTCCACAAGTCTTAAAAAGTTGCCAAGGTTGGAGACCTCTGTGTTAGGATATCTGGGTTTTGTGGTCCAACACTCTTTCAGGGCATTAGGTTAGGGAAAGACAAATCCCGAGACTTAACAGAAGACTCCGTTAATAATATCTCCACCCAAAGGAGATACGGTCCATATCTTTTTTTGGATCCCGCTACTCTGGTGGAAAACTGGCATTCGTTCACTTCTGGACTTCAAGAAGTAGTAACCAAAACACTGAATACATTCCAAAAATCCATCCCTTCCATGGTCTTCTTTTGGCAACTTGGCAGTTCTTCATATGATCAAGTCCACCCCTTCTGAGCTCCTGGGACATCCTAGGCTTCTGGCATAGACAGGTCTCTCCAGAGCAGGAGAAAACATTCTCCGTGTAGGCCTTCTCCTAGACACATTCACATCACCTTAATGCAGGGAAACCAGGAAGGACTTTCGCGTATCTTCTCCCTAGAGAAATAGTAGTGACCACTGATCTTCTACGATGGAGATGCTAAACCTTGGCAAGTAGGATCAGCTGAGGAGTGAAATGCTACCGGTTCATTCCGGTTCGGGCAAACCGGTAGTGATAAAAAAGCTACCGGTTTGTCCGAACAAGTATTTCCGATGATCAGCTGTACCGCACGGTTTATATATTCCTAGCAAAGCTAAATCACGCGGCACACCTGTTCCCCCCCCTCGCTGTTCTACTTACTTAATGAAGTCTTCTTTTTCCATGCGAAGCGTGCATTTGGCGCACCCTGCCCATGTGCAGGCAGCAAACCGGTGGCGATCCGCGGAGGATTTTACCACTGTTTCAACTCCTCTGGAAATTGCGGTCTTTTTCCCCAAGCTTTGAATTTTACGTGCCTCCCTACCCTTGTGCTTTTCACTTTGGGTTTTATGTTCTGATGAATGTATTATTATTTTTTAAATATATATATATATATATATATATATCTCGGGGACTTCTTTTTTCCCTTGGTCTCTATCTGGAACCTACAGAGATGTTCCAACCTTCACATTGGTTGGGCAGAAGCTGCCTTACTGTGCCCCGTGGACTTCATTCCGTAGACTTGATGGAGCTGCAGTTCTTCACGTTGTAGGCTGAAAAGGGCGCCGTTGAGATGATTCTTCTTTCAGACCACGCTCCTTGGGGACATCTGGTGGAGAGAAGACCTTCCCCATTCATCCTTTTCAAAGGGTCTTTCTTCTCCTCCTTAGACACTGCCTTAGTTTGAGAACCAGAAGTCCTTGGTTCGTTAACCGATTCTTGTACTGTATTAAGAAAGGGGGGAAGGCAGCTCCTTTGCCTCTTCTGCCCTGGTGCCAAGTCGGGACATTTCCACTAATCAGTGCCAAAGGTTTTGCATCGTGTGTCTCTCTCTCTCTCATTCTCGGGGATGGTCTTACTCAGGGGTGGGCTCCAAAAATTTTAGCAAGGGGTTCTCTGCCTGGTTGCTGGGTGGCCGTAGCCTAGTCGGCCTCCTGCACCACAGTGGGGTGGGGGGCATTTTTGCCCTCCCCTGGCTCCAGAGGCTTTCCTCGAGCCTACAGGAGGGCGAAAACGGCCTCCCCAGGCTCTGGAGGCCAGAAATGGGCCTGTTTCCAGCCTTCCCGAACTTCCGGTATGCCCGTTTTTCTTCCTCCCCGAGTCTCCGTGTACGCCCTGCACTTACCTGCATGCAAAACGGGCTGCGTGGGGACTCCTGGGAGGGAAGGACTGGGCAGGGCCAGCCAGGAGTGGGATTTGGGGGTTCTCCGAACGGCACAGAATCTTAGCTAGAGGTTCTCACGAACCCCTACGAACCCCCAGCAGCCCCACCCCTGGTCTTACTCCTTCCCTGACTGCTCCTCTCCTGCTTTCCAAATTTAAACTGCCCTGATGCAGGTGAGCTAAATACAAACCTGCGCTTCGTGGTTTAAGGATTAGCGGATGGACAAAGGTCCAGGCACATCTGGTTGGCTGACGCTGTTGGACCATCAGCTGGTCCAGAAGAATTTTGGTCCAGAGAAACTCAGTGGTAGCAGCAAGGGAGAACTTATGGCCCAGATGGAGACGATACTGACTTCTCCCTTTCTCTTTTCTGAATGTCGATAGAAATGAATTTCTCCCCCTGCGAGCTGTTAATTCTCGAGATTCCTTCTTCTGCTATCTATATCAGGGGTCTTCACCTCCGGCAAACTTTTTAAGCCCTGTGGAACTCACACACACCCCCCCATGCTGGCTGGGGAATTCTGGGAGTTGAAGTCCACAAGTCTTAAAATGTGCCCAGGATGTGGCAACACCCCTGATCTATGTGATAAAGTTAATGCAGAGGTGGCCAGGGTATAAGGAAGTTGTTGCTTGTATTTTTACAGGATCTGGTGTTTCTTAGATGGAAGATATAAATTAAATGTTTTAAATGTCTCTCTGTTAACGCCCTGGCAGCCTAAGACTAGTCTGGTTTTGGAATTCCTCAGCTCTCCGGCATGGATGCTGACAATAAAACCAACGTTGCCTGCTTGTTAAGTCATTTGTCTCTTGGTTTCATTTAAACAATGCTGAGCAACAAAGATCATGAAGGGACTGGAGGCTAAAACATATGAAGGACGGTTGCAGGAACTGGGTATGTCTAGTTTGATGAAAAGAAGGACTAGGGGAGACATGATAGCAGCCTTCCAATATCTCAGGGGCTGCCCCAAAGAAGAGGGAGTCAAGCTGTTCTCCAAAGCACCAGAAGCCAAGACGAGAAGCAATGGGTGGAAACTAATCAAGGAGAGAAGCAACCTGGAACTAAGGATAAATTTCGTGACGGTTAGAACAATTAATCGGTGGAACAACTTGCCACCAGAAGTTGTAGCTGCTCCAAAACTGGAAGTTTTTAAGAAGATGTTGGATAACCATTTGTCTGAAGTGGTGTAGGGTTTCCTGCCTAAGCAGGGGGTTGGACTAGAAGACCTCCAAGGTCCCTCCAGACTCTGCTATTCTAAGTTCTAAATTCCAAGTTGATTTGAACAGAATAGCAACAGAACTTATACCGCTTCACGGTGCTTTACGGGCCCCTCTAAGCGGTTCACAGAGTCAGCCTCTTTCCCCCAATAATCTGGGGTCCTCATTTTACCGACCTCGGAAGGATGGAAGGTTGAGTCAACCTTGAGCCGATCAGGATCAAATTTCTGGCAGTGGGCAGAGGGAGGGAGGGAAGGACAGAAGGAAGGAAGAAAGAAAAGGAAGAGCAATAGCAATAGCGCTTAGAGTTATATACCGCTTCACAGTGATTTACAGCCCTCTCTAAGCAGTTCACAGAGTCAGCCTATTGCCCCCAACAATCTGGAGTCCTCATTTTACCGACCTCGGAAGGATGGAAGGCTGAGTCAATTGTGGTCGCTAAATCGAGGGCTATCTCTAGAGGGGGAAAGTGTAAAGAAGAGCAACTAAGAAGATTAAGGGCCTGAAGCCAAAAACATGATGAAGAACAGTTGCAGGAACTGAGTATAGCCCAGTCTAGAGAAAAGAAGGACTAGGAGTGACACGATAACAGTCTTCCAATATTTGGGAAGCTGCCACCAAGGGGCGGTCAAATTATTTCCCCGATCACCAGAAGGAAAGACAAGAAATAATGGATGGAAACTAATCAAGGAGAGAAGCAACCTGGAATTAAGGAGAAATTTCCTAACAGTGAGAACAATTAACCAGTGGAACAACTTGTGTCCAGAAGTTGTGGGTGCTCCATCAGGAGCCTTGGTGGCGCAGCAAACTAAAACTGCTGTTAAAGTAGCACTTAGCTGCCAGCTGCCTGCAATTACTGTGAGTTCAAATCTCACCAGGCTCAAGGTTGACTCAGCCTTCCATCCTTCCGAGGTAGGTAAAATGAGGACCGGATTGTGAGGGCAATAAGCTGACTTTGTATTAAAAAAGAACACCGCTTGGGCGGGGGGCGAAAGCCCTACTAAGCAGGTACATACAAAAGTATGAAGGCTATTGCTTAACGCATTGTAAGCCACCCTGAGTCTCTGGAGAAGGGCGGCATATAAATCGAACCAAGGAAGGAAGGAAGGAAGGAAGGAAGGAAGGAAGGAAGGAAGGAAGGAAGGAAGAAAGAAAGAAAGAAAGAAAGAAAGAAAGAAAGAAAGAAAGAAAGAAAGAAAGAAGAAAGAAAGAGAAAGAAAGAAAGAAAGAAAGAAAGAAAGAAAGAAAGAAAGAAAGAAAGAAAGAAAGAAAGAAAGCAGTCTTTCCTTAAAAAACCTCCAGTGATGACGCACATACGAAAGCCACTTGCCTGAAATGGTCTCTCCTGCTTGAGCAGGACTATCTCTGGAGGTGGAAGTTCTTCCATATCTGGATATTTTGAAAAAGAGGCTAGATCAGTGATGGCGAACCTTTTTGGCACCAAGTGTCCAAACCGGAATCCGCATGCATGTGAAAAACCGAAGAACAGCTGGCCGGCGCACAAATTCTTGGTTTTTGGCCGCTTTTAAGCTGTTTTTTGGGGCTGTTTGGGGGGCCATTTTGGGCAGTTTTTCAGGCTGTTTTGGGGCTGTTTTTCAGGCTGTTTTTCAGGCTGTTTTTCAGGCTGTTTTTCAGGCTGTTTCGGGGCCATTTTATGGCTGGTTTTTTTGGCTATTTTGGGCTGTTTTTCAGGCTGTTTTTGGGCTGTTTTTCAGGCCGTTTTGGGGCTATTTTGGGGGCATTTTTGGCCTGGTTTTTTGGGCCGTTTTTTGGCTGTTTGGAGGGCTGTTTTGGGGACTATTTTGGGCTGTTTTTCAGGCCATTTTTGGGCTGGTTTGGGGCCATTTTCAGGCTGTTTTTGTTGCTCCGGTGCCCGTGAAGACCAGCTGGCTGGCGCCCGTGCCCACAGAGAGGGCTCTCCATGCCACCTTTGGCATGCATTGCTATAGGTTCGCCATCACGGGACTAGATGAATCTTATTAACTGGTTTTCCTGAATATTATGGAGGGTTGGGTTCCACAATTCATTTGATATGCATCCCTTAAAAAAAAATAATAATCAACCACCTCTGTCGGCAATAACAAAAGCCAGTTTAAAAATGAAGCTATTATCTCCTTGAAATCAATCATCTCAGCAAGAGAACACGAGCGAAGAGCAAAAAGAAAATTAATCAAGACCATGTTGACTCCTCAGCAGGATTTTAAAGTGATTTTTATTTGTTCCTAGCCTAACTTTTTGTTATTTATTTCGTTCACAGTATGGTTCCTAGCAAAGAACTCTTTCCCCCCCCCCTGCACCCCCCCCCGAGTGAGTCATTCCTAATTTTGCAATCTTCCTTGCCATGGTCATGAAGCAAAAAAACCCTCCATTAACTTTGCTTCTCAAAACCTCTTGGGAAGGTTGGAGACGGAGGTCACGTGAGCCCAAGATGCCGCGTCCATCATGAATATATATATATTGGTTGCCAAGCATCCAAATATTAATTCATGCGACCTGCAGAGACATGGTTATAACTGCAAGGACCGGGCCGCAAGTCCACTTTTCCAGGGCTGTCCTCATGTTGAATGATCATTAAATGTTGTAAGTTCCATTTGTCAGGAATAGCAATAGCACCTGGACTTATATACCGCTTCACAGGGCTTTACAGCCGCTCTCTAAGCGGTTTACAGTCAGCCTCTTGCCCCCAACAATCTGGGTCCTCATTTTACCCACCTCGGAAGGATGGAAGGCTGAGTTAACCTGAAAGAAGGGAGGGAGGGAGGGAGGGAGGAGGAAGGAAGGAAGGAAGGAAGGAAGGACAATGGCAATAGTACTTAGACTTATATACCGCTTCACAGTGCTTTACGGCCCTCTCTAAGCGGTTTACAGAGTCAGCCTCTTGCCCCCAACAATCTGGGTCCTCATTTTACCCACCTCGGAAGGATGGAAGGCTGAGTTAACCTGAAAGAAGGGAGGGAGGGAGGGAGGGAGGGAGGAAGGAAGGAAGGAAGGAAGGAAGGACAATGGCAATAGTACTTAGACTTATATACCGCTTCACAGTGCTTTACGGCCCTCTCTAAGCGGTTTACAGAGTCAGCCTCTTGCCCCCAACAATCTGGGTCCTCATTTTACCAACCTCGGAAGGATGGAAGGCTGAGTTAACCTGAAAGAAGGGAGGGAGGGAGGGAGGAGGAAGGAGGAAGGAAGGAAGGAAGGAAGGAAGACAATAGCAATAGTACTTAGACTTATATACCGCTTCACAGTGCTTCACAGCCCTCTCTAAGCGGTTTACAGAGTCAGTCTGTTGCCCCCAACAATCTGAGTCCTCATTTTACCAACCTCGGAAGGATGGAAGGCTGAGTCAACCTTGAGCCAATCAGGATCGAACTGCCGAACTGGTGGCAGTCGGCAGTCAACAGAATTAGCCTGCAATACTGCATGCTAACCACCGTGCCACCATAGGTATGGAATAGGTTCCCTCCCTGAGCAGATGGTTGGACTAGAAGACCTCCAAGATCCCTTCCAACTCTTCTTATTCTGTTATTCCTGTAAGGAATGGATTGATTTTTGGGATCTACCCATTGCTTTTAAAAAAAAAAAAAATAAACACAAAAGTTTTATTAAAAGTCCTTTATGCTTAACTAGTTTCCTGTAGTCCTGCTTGTTGTTGTTCCATCTCAACCGTAACAGCTATTCCACACTGACGGAGCAGGTCCTTCAAGGAATGGATGGTGCAACTCAACTCCTGGAAAGAGATGGTAATTCCGGCGGTGCAGTTGAGCTGGTTCTGGGTTTCCAAGATCTTCAGAACGTGGGCCACGAGGATGGCTTTGACCAACAGCGCTGTGATAGCAGAATGTACGTGAGGACAGGACAAAGCTTTCAGATGCAGGCAAGGGATGTCCTCTGAAACACACAAATAGGACAGGATTTTTTTATTGGCCAAGGGTGATTGGATACGCCCAAGGAATTTGTCTCCACATTGAGATTGAGACAGAATAGAATAGAATAGAATAGAATAGAATAGAATAGAATAGAATAGAATAGAATAGAATAGAATAGAATAGAATAGAATAGAATAGAATAGAATAGAATAGAATTCTTTATTGGCCAAGTGTGATTGGACACATAAGGAATTTGTCTCCGTTTTGAGATTGAGATTAGAGTAGAGTAGAGTAGAGTAGAATAATAGAACAGAAAAGAATAGAATAGAATAGAATAGAATAGAATAGAATAGAATAGAATAGAATAGAATAGAATAGAATAGAATTCTTTATTGGCCAAGTGTGATTGGACACATAAGGAATTTGTCTCCGTTTTGAGAGTAGAGTAGAGTAGAGTAGAGTAGAATAATAGAACAGAACAGAACAGAACAGAATAGAATAGGAATCTTTATTGGCCACGTGTGATTGGTACCGGTAGCATTTCACCCCTGCACCTTATCCAACTCACCTTGGCTCCACCACTGTCTACAGAATTCTACAGTGCAGATGATTCCAGCTCCAGTGGTTTCTAACCAGGATTGTATTGACTCCCAAAGTTTTCGAGAGGTGGACGCGTTCTCCACCAGTTGGAGTAGAAAGGGTAATAACATCTGGGAGAAGACTGCTGGCTCGGTGTAGACGTTGGGTTCATCCTCTTTGTAGAGACTGACCACTCTGAAAAGAGAAAAAACGACATTCGCGCCACATTCTGAACCATAAACCATTAACCGCAGTTTAGCTTAACATGTTGTGTGAACTCAGCTCACGTGGGTTAATAAGGAGGCATGCTGGGCAAACAAAGCAAGGGAGAAAGAAGTTGAATGCACCTCATGAGGAATTAATTGATCTGATCAGATTACAGATTGACAGAGTTGAAAGGGACTTTATAGCTAATCTTGTCTAATCTCCTGCTCAAGCATTTCTGACCAATGGCAGTCCAATCTCTTCTTGAAAGTCTCAAGTGATGAAGCTCCCACAACTTCCGAAGGCAACTTCTGTTCCATCGGTTGATTGCTCTCACTGTCAGAAAGTTCCTCCTCATTTGTAGGTTGAATCTCTCCAGCAATATCTCCCATCTTGGAGCCTGTTGGACTTCAATTCCCATAATTCCTCAGAGAATCTGATTTTGATCATCTCACATGATCTCAAGGGGGCACCAGGATTGGACGAAAGCGTGTGTGTAGTGCTCTACCATATTTTTTGGAGGGGGTGAAAATTTAGGTGCATCTTATACACCGAATGTAGCCCCACCCGGCCCACCCATTGGCCCCCACTCTTTGGCCTCTGCCTCCCAGCAATTTACCTCCTTGCAGCAAGAAGAAACAGCCTATTTCAGCTTCAGCACAGCCTAATTACCACAAGCTGATTGTCCCTTGGATCGGCCTCCCGACTCTCAGCTGTTTCAGGCTGCAGGGATTGCCATGGCCTATTGCTGCCTCTGCTGCTTGCTGCGAGGAGGTAAATTGCTGGGAGCAGATTTTTTTTTCTCCTTGTGCTCATCAAGCTATGCTGAAAATGAAAATGAAAGTAAAGCAGGCTGTTTGCTGCAAGGAGGCAAAATTGCTGGGAGGCAAAGGCAGATTTCTTTTTCTTGTTTTCCTCCCCAAAAAAGGTAGGTGCGTCTTATAGTCTTATATTCCGAAAAATACGGTCATTAGGACTTCCCAATTAAAGCATTGCGATGAAACCAGGTTTGAGCTGAAATTTGAACTGCTTCAAAGCCTGGGAGAAGAGGGATCAGTCAGTATGCAATGACTCAACTAGCTTGACACAACAACCTACCATTGGCAGATCCCAGTGCTTCTAATTGAAGTTGGGGAAGTATCCACACTTAGTCAAAAACAGAGCCCCTGCTTTTCATTTTCATTTTCATTTTATTAAATTTGTATCCCGCCCTACTCCCGAAGGACTCAGGGCGGTGAACAGCCATAAAATGAAACATAGATACAAAATTTAAAATAGAGATAAAACGAATTAAATAAATTTGGCTGAACCATTTTAAAACCCCAATAAATTAAAATCAAATTTAAAATTTCCATTTAAAAAGAGGAAAAATTTAGGTCAGGCCAGCTTGATGAAATAGGAACGTCTTAAGTGCGCGGCGGAAGGTGCGCAGATCCGGGATCCTCCGTATCTCCGGGGGGAGCTCGTTCCAGATCGTAGGTGCCCCCACAGAGAAGGCTCTCCCCCTGGGGGCCGCCAGTCGACATTGTTTGGCCGACGGCACCCGGAGGAGCCCCTCTCTATGGGAGCGTACTGGTCGGTGGGAGGCTATTGGTGGCAGCAGGCGGGACCGTAAATAGCCAGGTCCTAAGCCATGGAGCGTTCTGAAGGTGATAACCAAAACCTTGAAGCGCACTCGGAAGACCACCGGGAGCCAGTGCAGCTCGCGCAGGAGAGGCGTTACATGGGAGCGTCACGTCGCTCCCATCACCACCCGCGTGGCCGCACTCTGCGCCAGTTGGAGCCTCCGAGTGCTCCTCAAGGGGAGCCCCATGTAGAGAGCGTTACAATAGTCCAAACAGGAGGTGACGGCATGAGTGACCGTGTGTAACGAGTCCCGATCCAGGGACTCGTGCTTTGATTCCCTACATTCCTCTCTTGGCTTACCCCTGGCTTTCCAGCTCCATCAAGGTCTCACTGAGTTCTACCATGGGGAGAAGGTGCATCAGTGATGCAAAAGTTGAAGGATGGTCCCCGAAATTTTCGAGCAGGAACTGCAGCAGGCTGAACAGAGCCTTGGAGCTCTGGAGCTGAAGGCAACTGTGGTGAGGTTGATCCTGCTGGACGGGCGACGGTATCTGTACCAAACAGCTGACGAAGGAAGCAGCTTCATGTCGCACTTCTTGGTCTTCGTCTTGGAGGAGATGTATCGCTGCCTCGATCAACCTGAAGAAGGGGTAAGAAGGAAAGAAATTTCTTCTTTATGCACCTCTCAGCTGGGCGAAAAAAAGAAGAAATATAAGGTCGGAATAACGCGGGGGCAGGCGGGAGGGCCCAGCTCTCGAAGAAAGAGAACCGGTTCAGTGACGTAATAGCGTCGCCGCTACCGGTTCGGCCGAACCGGGAGTAACCCACCACTGCATAAGTAGTCACAAAATTGTGGGAAATGACCCAGTCTCTCAACACTGGTAGAACAATGTGGGAAAGATGGCCGAATTGCAACTGGTTGTATTCTGGAGAATTTGGGGACCCCAGCAACTGTTCTGAAACTAGGTGTCTGTGCTGGTGTTGTTTGCAAAAGGACGTACCGTAGAACTTGGGAACGAAGGAGGAAGTCGGACGATTTCCGGACTTCCCAAATCCATGCTGGGCCACCCATTTGGATGGCTTTGGCTGCAGCCATCCTGAGCACCTCGTCTGAAAGGGAGTTGCTCCACTTCTCTATCGTTGCAATCCATCGTTCCCATAAACGATCGCCTTCGGGGCTGCACCCAAAAGAGAGAGAGTTACACGGCAAGAATAGTTACGGATTTGCTTCTTTGGATTCCAACCAGATCCTCTTTTACTTAGGCCATGCCTACCTAGCCAGTCATTAGGACAGAGAAACGGTTGTTAAAAAACACCAGAAACCACAAAACCCTTTTGACATCTCTCTCCCTCTCCCTCCCTCCCCCTTTCTCTCCCCCCCCCCTCTCTTTATCTCTCTCCCACTCTCTCTGTATCTCTCTGTCTCTGCCCTGGCCGTTTCTCCATTCCCCGCCGTCGCCGTTACCTTCTCAGGCCAGGCGAAGAGTGACTGGGAGGGGAGGGAGAGGGGCGGGGCCACAGCAGAGGGCCCAAAGAGCTGCATGCAGCTCCAGAGCCGCAGGTTGCTGACATCTGGCCTAAGTGCTATTGCTATTGCTAATTGTTGGTTCTTGACCTCCAGCTTCTACTTACTGTTGACTCAGGAACAATGTGGCTGCACAAAACGCATGATCTCGGAGCCCGGGACCTTCATGGTTACTCTCTACCATAGAGAACAGGATTTCACCACACTCCAGAGCTAATTTCTCCGGGAAAGGCTGCCTTTGAGCAACGTTGCCAAACAGAAGGAGAAAAACTTTCAAGTACAGCTTCAAGACGGCGGGGTCTCCGGGGTTTTTCAGGATCTCCGTGAATTTTCCCTAAGGCAAAGAAAGGGACATATATTTTGTGTGTCCACTGTAAGAGAATCGAGAATATACAGTGCTCCTCAAAGGGGAAAGAGAAATAAGGATGTTCTTTGTTTTTATGTATCATGCTAAACCAGGGGTCGGGACCTTAAACACTCAAAGAGCCACTTGGACTCGTTTCCCACAGAAAAAAAACACACCGGAGCCACAAAACCTGGGTGGGCGTGGCCAACTCGATGTCACTCACTCCCACCCAGTCACATGACCCTCCCTAGCCTCGCCTACCCAGCCACAAAACCATTCTGTCTCCCCCTCTGTCTCTCTTCCCCTCTCTCACCCCTCTCTATGTATCACTCTATGTGTCTCTATGTCTCTCTTTCTCTCCCCCTCTCAGGAGCGAAGCTGCCCTGTACCTGCCTTCGCCCCACATTTGTGCATAAGGCAGCCTTCGCTTCTTGCCACTTTGGGCTGGAGTCCAAAAAAGAAATAAGAGGGGCGAGGGGCGGGGCCAACCAGTGATGGGACAAGGAGCCGCAGCAGAGGGCCCAAAGAGCCACATGCGTCTCCGGAGCCACGGGTCGCCAACTCCTGTGCTAAACCTTGATTTGTGGAAGAAGACCTGGTTGACCTTTCATACTATGCTATGGCTTGCAAGCCACAATACCTAGGTTCACACAGGACATCAAACCTTAAGCTAAATTGACCACATTAATGGCAATGTGGGACCCCACCCATTATGAACATGGCCCTTGACTCCTGGAATGTTAAAGGAATGTCGATCAACGCTGGTCAACGCTGGAACCAGAAGTTCTTCTGAAGAACATCTAACTAATCTGTCAAATGTATATGAGAGTTCATGACTGGCAGAGACATGGTAACAAGGTCAACCAATGAATAGGCATGGCAACTAAGTCAGCCAATGGGGACTGTTTGGAAACTGAAACAGTATTTTGCTATGTGAGCAAAGAGACAGCAAGGAGCCTGGGCGTGGCTTAGCTGTGCTGAGCTCTGAGTCTGTGCTAAAGCAAACAACAAAAACAACCTAGTCTGCTGCTCTGAACTGAAACTAAAAACGGTTCTCTCTTCTGCCTGTGTTTGCTGGTACTTGCTACCATGTTGGAAGAAGAGTCTGCCATTGGTATTGTATATTTATTTCATGTGTTATATTATACATAAAGAGAAGTTAATGAATCCTGCTGAATCAGTTACCGGAGTGTGCTTTCTGGATGCGATTGCTGCTGCAAACTATCAAACAAGAGCCTTGATAGTACAGTGGTTTAGTGCACCCTGTCATTAACACAGCTGCCTGCAATTTCTGCTGGTTCGAATCTCTCCAAGGCTCAAGGTTGACTCAGCCTTCCATCCTTTCTAAGGTAGGTGAAATGAGGACCCAGTTTGTGGGGGCAATAAGCTGACTTTGTATAAAATATACAAAAGTATGAAGGCTATTGCTTAACGCATTGTAAGCCGCCCTGAATCTCTGGAGAAGGGCGGCATATAAATCAAATTAAAAAAAAAAAAAAAAAAAACTCTGACATAATCCCTAACATTTGTAGACCCAGGAATCCTCTCTACATTTCCTTAGAAGACCTCGGCATTTTTGCAGAACACGTATTACGGACCAGTGGTTGAGGTACAGCATCTCCAATTCCATGTATCCCCGCTGGGATTAAAACCAGATCTCACCATGAATATCAGCTGCAGTTCCTTGTTGGACTTCAGACTTTTCCTTTCCTCGATGTCCAACAACCAAGTTAGAAAGGCGGCTTGAACGTCAGGATTTCCCCTTTCCAGAAGCAAGTTCAGATCATGGATTCTTTCCGGAGATTCCTGTCTTGTGGCTTCTTGGCTGAGGAAATTGACAGCCCATTGGCAGAAGATGGAAGAACCAAGCTTGAAGAAGATTAAAAGAAAAGGCATTGGTCTGTATCTTTTTTTTCACAAGGTGACAACCTATCTTCATCCATTGCTTTTCTCCAAGGTTTCTTTGAACCCCACCTGTAATGGCCCACCAGCGGCCGATGGAACTGGCAGCAGAGTCAGACAGTGAGGAGGTTGGGGAGGAACAATGGGCCAATCCTGGGGGCTGGGGAAAGCTCGGACGAGGGCTCTGCGTCGGAGGCAGAGAGGGAGCTAGACAGCAGCGAGGCAGAGGAACAGCTGGAGCCTGTTCCCAGTGTGTGCATGCACAGAGCTGCCAGAAGACAAGAACAACTAAGAAAGCAGGGTCGACTTGGGAGTAAAGCCACACCTTGGAGGTGATTGGCCCCTCCCATAGGAAACAAAAGAGGAGCGAACGGGGAGTGGGCTTTTGCAGGAAACCATTCATTCATTCGTTCTGTGACTCTCAGAGACTCTGTGCCAAGTTTTGCCTTGTAGTGGGTTTGGAAACTAGTTACATGGCAGCTTTCCAAGTGAGATAAGGTCTGTGTTGATAAACATTCCTCTGAAAGACTGTTCGGACAAGCCTTGCTGGCTGTGAATGAAAGGAATTCACAGTCGGGTAAATAAAAGCGATTTTGCAGGGACCAAAACTCTGCTTCCTGCTTTTTAAGGGAGCCTAGGTCAAACGCCACCTTCCTCAACCTGTGGTTTCCACACACCCCTCACTCACATCGAGCAACCTGGACGGGGAGGATGGCAGTTGTAGTCCCACAAGCCTCACGAAGAAGCACGTTGAGAATATCTTCCCTCCCACCTCAATTTTTTGGGGGATTAAAGGTAGGGCCTTTTAGCAAAACTAGGGATTTTTGTCTCAATCCTTTGTGTTGGCTCTCAGCCCTGACAATCCTGGATACCTGGATAGGGGAGAAACCAGGTTTAGGACTGGCCAGATCCTCGTACAACAGATCCCAGACTTTCTGCAAAAAAACTGGAGAACAGCTTCCTAGCAATATGGACAAAACTTGAAGGTAAACGGCACAGATTAACGGGCACCGTCGTATGTCCATCAGCATCCAGATGTGGCTTTCCATTATGCAGGCCACGGACCGCAGCAACTCGGGATGCAGTCTGAAAAGCAGATGTTGAAACATCAGAAGGTCAGTTTAGCAGGGGTGAACTGCAGTCTTGCGAAATAAAATTGTTCTGCACATTGGAAAAAAAAGCAAAGGTTTTTTTCAACACGGACTGATATTTATTTATTCCATGAGTTCTTTCAAAAATGACGCAGACGGAGAGTTTGCATTTTGGTTGGTTTTGAGGTCTGTCTTTGGCCACATCTCGGGGAGAGGGGATGCTGAAGAATAACAGAATACGTATCTAATTTTACATGTATTAACAGCAGCTAGAATTGGGTTTGCACAACAGTGGAAAAACGAAGCAATCCCTACAGAGGAAAACGTAATTTAAAAAAAATATTAGAATGTGCAAAAATGAATAGATTAACATTACAAATTAAGGAGAAGGAAGAAACTCAATACTTTTTAACACGGGATTTGTTTTATCAATGGCTAACTACTTTATTTATTTATTTATTTTTATTTTTATTTATTTTATTTCAAATTTATATACCACACCTTCTCCCGAGGGACTCAGGGCGGTGTACAGCCAGATAAAAATATACAATATAAAATTAAAAACAATTAAAAGGGAATATATTAATTTGGCCCCAATTTAAGATAACAAACCAATTAAAAATATTTAAAAATATGTTAAAAAATATGTTAAGCCAGCCCGGCTTGCTGAAAAAAGAAAGTTTTAAGGGCATGGCGGAAGGCCCCGAAAATAAGACTCTGTCTTATATTTTTTTTAAACCCTGAAATAAGCGCTTGGCCTTATTTTCGGGGAGGTCTTATTATTTTGGGGTGTGTGGAGCAAGACGGGGCTCCTCTTGCCATCTTACCTGATTTCCAGCTCTGTCTCCCTAACCCTAACCAGAGGAAATGACGGGGACCGGCTGTGCGTGCATTTAAATATTTTCGAGGAGGGCTTATTTTTGGGAAGGGCTTATTTTCGGGAAGGGCTTATTTTCACGCATACACTCAAAAGCCCAATTGGACTTATTATCAGGGGAGGTCTTCTTTTCGGGGAAACAGGGTAGCAGAAACAGAATTAAAAACTGAAATGTATAAGAGAATGACTAATTACATAAGGAAAGTTCACTAAAATGGATAAGGATAAGGAGGAATTTTCTGATCGGGAGAACAATCAACCGATGGAACAGAAGTTGCCATCAGAAGTTGTGGGAGCTTCATCACTGGAGGCCTTCACAGGGAGATTGGACTGCCATTTGTCAGGTATGGTGTAGGGGCTCCTGCTTGGGCAAGGGGGGGGGTTGGACTGGATGACCTCCAAGGTCCCTTCCAACTCCGTTATAATCTGTTAGATTGCAGCGTCCCCATGGTCATGAGATCAAAATTCAGATTCTTAACAACTGACTCATATTTACGACAGTTGCAGCATCCCGGGTGTGTGTGTGTCATACGATCCCTTATTACGACCTTCCGACACGTCAATATGGAAGGGAGATTCACTTACCAACCGCTTCAAGAAAGGTCACAAAAGGGGGGGGGGGCAAAAAAACTCAACTCGACCGCTTGTCTCTCTCAGCAACCGAAAAGCTGGGCTCCGTTTTCGGTTGTAAGTCGAGGACTACCCGTGATATATTTTGCAGGGTGGGAAGGCAAACGTACCGATCGACCTTCAGAGCTTGATTCAAGACAGCCTGGATTTGCAGCAGACATCCGTGCAATGCGTTATGGGACAGAGCGGCTTCCGGCTGCGGGAATCTGGCTGCCAACCGCAAGACGATCTTTCCGTAATCCGTCACCGGAATGAAAGGCACCAAAGCTTTGGCGGCCATCGCCCGGACGGCATAAATGGGGTTTCCTGACAGCTGAATCAGGGGCTCCAGGAAGCAGGTGAGAGTGCTGGAGAGAAGAAAATGAGCAAAAGAAGGGGGGAAATTGGTCGCCATTTTGGGGTGAAACCTCAAATGGCAATCGAGAAACTCGAACGACGATCTCGAGAACGGAAGCCTCCGAAGTACAGGCAGTCCCACAAGGGACTTACAACGCATTGTAAGCCGCCCTGAGTCTCCGGAGAAGGGCGGCATATAAAAATAAATAAATAAATAAATAAAAGTTGGAAGCAGAACTCGATGTTACCTTAACATGGGCGATGGAATTAATAATCTAGTTGAAAGACATTACAGAAGATACTATATGGATTACAAATTTAAAGTCATTTGAGGATTTTGTTTATATATGGAAATATCTTTTAGTGGTGCGGGCAGAAGAATAAAGATATTAAAAATATTATGTATGGTAGACCTGTAGGAAAGTGGGTGGAGATAGGTTAGGTTACTGATGGTTTAGCTTAGGAAAAGGGATGTTATGTTCAGATATTAATATACTTAAAAGATTTGAATTAAGAGACATATGTGTGGGGATGGAGGAAATGGGTAGATTATGAGTTGAATAAATGCTAAATTAGGATTATTATATAGTTATATAGCTGAAGGTTGCTTCGAAAGGTATAGTATAGGGGGGATATAATAATAATGTTAGAAAAGAAATGGTTAGCATGTGGGGGGGTGGTGTAAAAGGATGGTAAAGTATTATATAATTTGATATTAATTTGGATTTTATTTTGGAGAAGCCATGGGGGGAGGGGGGGGAGGGGGGTTAGGGAGGAGGGAGGGGGAAAAAAAAGTGGGGAAAAAATCTGTATTTGAAAAACTTTTTCAATTAAAAAAAAAAAAAGGGAGCCCAAAATTTATACTGCTAAGTGAAACATTCGTTAAGTGAGTTTCATGGCCCCGTTTTACATCTTTTCCTGCCACATTACCGAACTAGGTAAGTGCTAGAAGGGAGGTGGAGTTTGTGGAGGAGGAGGAGGAGGAGGAGGAGGAGAATGACTATGGAGTCCTTGGTGCTCTCTGAGCTTCATTCTTCTCTTGCAGACATTGCATTACCCAACTAGATTACGTCATCAGTTCTAGAAAGGAGTGGGATTTGCAGAGAGGGAGGGAGGAAGAGGAGGACTGTGGGGTCCTTGGCTCTATCCAAGCTTGGTTGTTCTCTTGCAGACATTTCATGACCCAACTAGGTAACATTATCAGTGCTAGAGATGTTATCTAGCCAGTGCAGCCGTTGAGATGGTTCTCCTGCATCCTGAATGGCCTTGAACTCAAAGAGTCTTCATAGTTTTACGAACTTTAAATGATTCCGTGACCCCACCTCGGTGATTTCATCCTGGTTTTGAGGTCCCACCAAATTGTCTTCCGAACTTACCTGTCCTGAGTGTCTCTGCTGGGCTGCAGCTTGGCCAGAAAAGTGAGGACAGCGTACAGGGAAGGACAGAGGTGGAATTTCCCTCTTCTCGGTCCTTCGGATATGGACACCTCCACAGCCAGGGACAATTCTCCAAGTAGGATGCTTCTCAAATGAACATGTCGGGCAAAGAGAGCTTCGGGGCTTACTCCGTCCTTGGCACGGCCGTCCTCGGAACTCCATTTCTGCCCGAGGAGGCGAACAGTCAAGGCGCCTGGAGGAAAACAAGATCGGAAGTTAGAAAGAACCGCGTTCCCAAAAAACAAATGAATGTACAGGTGATAGCAATAGCACTTAGACTTATATACCGCTTTACAGTGCTTCACAGGCCTCTCTCTAAGCGGTTTACAGAGTCAGCCTCTTGCCCCCCAACAATCTGGGTCTTCATTTTACCCACCTTGGAAGGATGGAAGCAGGGGTGAAATGCTCCCGGTTCACACCGGATCGCCTAATCCGGTAGCGATGGAGGCGGGTGGTTCGGAGAACCAGTAGCAAAAATCCCTGCCCCCCACCCCAATGCCCAGCTGAGCCGCGCGATCATCAGAGGCTTTTTTTAAAAAAATTTTTAAAAGCATTTTTTCTACAACCTCTTCGGCTGAAAAAATGCTTTTAAAAGTAAAAAAAAAAAAAAAAAGCCTCTGACGATCCCAGCCGAGTTGCCTGATCGTCAGAGGCTTTTAAAAGCATTTTTTTTTAGAAATGCTTTTTAGAAAAAATGTTTTTAAAAGAAAAAAAAGCCTCTGACGATCAGGCAACTCAGCTGGGATCTCAGAGGCTTTTAAAAGCATTTTTTTTTACAACTGAAATGGTTGTAGGAAAAATGGTTTTAAAAGTAAAAAAACAAAAACAAAAAAGTTGGCCATGCCCACTCAGTCACATTACCCCCACCACCAAGCCACGCCCACAGAACCGGTAGTAACAAATTTTACATTTCACCATTGGATGGAAGGCCGAGTCAACCTTGAGCCTGGTGAGATTCGAACTGCCAAATTGCAGGAAGCCAGCAATCGGCAGAAGTAGCCTGCAGTACTGCACTCTAACCACTGCGCCACCGAGGCTCTAATATTTGCTTAGAGGCCACCATTGCAAATGGCAACTCAGTCATTAAACTATTTGTACCCAGACAACACACTGTTTAATTGAAAATGGAATTTTTACATGTTAAAAAATAAAAAAAAACTTTATGCCAAAAAACAAAGCAAAAAAACTCATTTAATCATTGCCTTGCTTAACAACAAAAATATTGGGCTCCATTGTAGTTTATTTATTGGTTCGATTTATATGCCGCCCTTTCCGGAGACTCAGGGCGGCTTACAATGCGTTAAGCAATAGCCTTCATACTATTGTATATACCTACTTAGTAGGGCTTTCGGCCCCCCCTAAGCGGTGTTCTTTTTTATACAAAGTCAGCTTATTGCCCCCACAATCCGGGTCCTCATTTTACCTACCTCGAAAGGATGGAAGGCTGAGTCAACCTTGATCCTGGTGAGATTTGAACTTGCAGTAATTGCAGACAGCTGGTGTTACTTAACAGCGCTTTAGTCTGCTGAGCCACCAAGGCTCTTCTAGTTGTAAGTCAAGTACAGCCTTTTTCTAGTGCCCAGGATGTGAGCCCAATAGTTCAAAAACATTTGAGATCTCCTAGGACAGAGGTGTCAAACTCAAGGGCCGGATCCGGACCACGGGGCCACCCTGGAAACAGCGAAGGACTGGCCTGTTGCCTCTACCAGCGAAAACGGAGCTCGGGAACACCGCATGTGGCCTTCCTGACCTCCGTTTTCCCTGGCAGAGGGTTGCGGGAGGCCGTCCCAGCAGAAAACGGAGCTTGGGAACCGAGAATCTGGATTGAAGACATCTCAGCAATGAAACAGATGTAAGCTTCCAAAGGAAGACCGTGAACGGATTTACCGAAAAGTTGGTTGGCTGCGTTTCTCATAGCCCAACTCGGGGAGCTTAGTGCCTTGAGGACTAACACCATCAGAGGTGTGATGTGTTGTTGCAGAGCAGGTCCAAGGTGGGAACCACGGACTAATGTTTGAAGGACGTGGACGGCAGAAACCTACAGAAGATAAAGGAAAAGAAATCAATTCACACATGGACCGGGGGGGTGGATTCTAAATTTTTTTACTATCGGTTTTGTGGGCGTGGCTTATTTTGTGGGTATGGCTTGGTGGTGGTGGTGGTGGGGTAATGTGACCGGGTGGGCGTGGCCAACTTTTTTTTTTTTTTAACTTTTAAAAGCATTTTTTTCTACAATCTTAAGAGGTTGCAGAAAAAAATGCTTTTTGGAGCCTCTGACGATCAGGCAACTCAGCTGGGATCACCAGAGGCTTTTAAAGGCATTTTCTTTTTCCCTACAACCTCTTCGGCCGAAGAGGTTGCAGAAAAAAACGCTTTTAAAAGCCTCTGGCGATCCCAGCTGAGCCGCGTGATCATCAGAGGCTTTTTTTCGATGGAAGCGGTTGTAGAAAAAATACTTTTAAAAGCCTCTGACGATCCCAGCTGAGCCGCGTGATCATCAGAGGTTTTTTTTGTTTTTTTTTTTACTTTTAAAAGCATTTTTTTCGGCCGAAGAGGTTGTAGAAAAAAATTCTTTTAAAAGTAAAAAATATATTTAAAAAAGCCTCTGATGAGGTGGGTGGGGTAAGCGAGCGGTGACCGGGCGGGGACCGGTTCGGGGGCCGTGGCCAGCCAATGTTATTACCGGTTCTCCGAACTACTACAAATTTTTACTACCGGTTCGTGCGAACCGGGAGCAACCCACCACTGACATCGACCCAGAATTGATCAGAATATTAGGACTTGGTGTAGACATCACATAAAGTCCCTGCTTGTCTTCTTCAGGGTTCAGTAGCATTCTGCTGGTCCATAAAGTACAGATGCAGATTAACAGAGTTGTGTCCTTACCTGAGGCAAATCCAGTGTCTGGTCTGAGCTGTGGGGGATCGGTTGGTTGGCCAAGGCGAGCAACGTCTGAAGGCAGTGAGTCAGAAGAGGCCGGGACTTGGCGGGATCTTCCCCTGTCGTAATGCATAGGAAGAGCATTGGGAAACCGGCTGCCCTGCGAGTGACGGAGCTTCCTCTGGGGCTGTTTAACAAAGCCAGACCCTTGAAAGAGAATTTTAGTGGTTAAGGAATTGGGTTAGAAAGCAAGAGGGCGTGAGTTCAAGTCCCGCCTTAGACGTAAAAGTCAGCTGGGTGACTTTGGGCCAATCATCAGGAGATGGTGAGTTTATCTTTCCCGCCCTCCCTCTCCTCTCTCTCTCTTATTCTTTCTCTCCCTTCCTCGCTCTCTCTCTCTCCTCTCTCTTTTTCTTTCTCTTTCTTTCTCTCTCTTTCTTATTCTCTCCCCCCACTCTTTCTCTCTCATTCTTTCTCTCCCCCTCCCTCCCTCTTTTTTCTTTCTCTTTCTTTCTCTCTCTCTTTCTCTTCTCTTACTCTCTCCCCCACTCTTTCTCTCTCATTCTTTCTCTCCCCCTCCCTCCCTCCCTCTTTTTCTTTCTCTTTCTTTCTCTCTCTCTTTCTCTTCTCTTACTCTCTCCCCCACTCTTTCTCTCTCTGTCAGACTTTGATGCTATCTCAAAATAAATGAATTTCCAAACTGCCAATCTTTAAGGAAATCTTTTCTTTAATTGAGCACAGCCACCGGATCATGACTCCTTGCGGACAAGACTGACCTTTTGCCCCCCAATCCCTCCCTTTCCGATCCCCAAATCTCTGCTTCTCATTGGCTATCTTCCAAGTCATTCTTCAGACTTCTTTTCACGCCATTCCCCAGGAATGTCCCCCCTCCTCATTTCCACGACAACCCGACTTCAAAGGGATTTAGCAGGCAAAAATTCAGAGCTTATCTCTCTCTCTCCTCTGCTCTCTATGCCAGCGTTGAAGCATTGACACTCTCATTCTTTCCCACTCCTCTCCCTTCCTTCCTTCCTTTCTTTTTCTCTTTCTCTTTTTTGTCTTCCTTCCTTTCTCTCTCTCTCTCTTTCCCTCTTATTCTCTCCCCCTCTCTCTTTCCCTCTCATTCTTTCTCTCCCCTCTCCCTCCCTCTTTCTTTCTTTCTCTCTCTCTCTCTTTCTCTTTCTTTCTCTCTCATTCTTTCTCTCTCTCCCTCCCTCTTTCTCTCTCTCAAATTTATTGGTTGCCCATCTTACCGCAACACTGGTTCACTTTAATGACCACAGCATCCACTTTATGACCCACTGCCACAAAAGCCATAAAATCAGCCACGTGAAGTGATTTGCTTTACAACCATTGCAACTTACGATCATGATGGGCAGGCTCCATTACCACCATAAATGGAGGACTACCTCTATTTTGGAGGAGCACTTGTAGTATATTATTTTTTGGGGGGGAAGAATCCCCTCAGAGTCATCGAGAGTGAGTGGGCGGCCATATAAAATTTTTCTTAAATCAATAAATACCTGCTGGCAATGGCTAAATGAGAGATCCTACCTGGGTGAGCATAGTCCGTGGAATGTTTTGTAGCTCTGGGCTGGGGTGACTGAGCAGAGTGGTACAAAACTTGGTGAAGCCCACGCTGCAGCCTTCCACAGCTCCCTAATCAGAAAAGGGAAAGAAGGGGAGCAAAAAGAGAATTGATTGAAGTTCAGCTGCCAAAGATCAGATTCATGGACGGGGGAAAAAAAAATCCAGTCCTTAATTCTGGTCATAAGTTAACAATTACCTGTAGCTGATTCTATACTTCACTCCACAACCTATTTTGTACTCAGGGAGAAGTTGCTGAGAGTGGGACACTGGCTTTAGAATAGAATAGAATAGAATAGAATAGAATAGAATAGAATAGAATAGAATAGAATAGAATAGAATAGAATAGAATAGAAATAAAGAATGGAATGGAATGGAATAGAATAGAATAGAATAGAAATAAGAATAGAATAGAATAGAATAGAATAGAAATAAGGATAGACTAGAATAGAATAGAATAAAATAGAATAGAATAAAATAGAAATAAGGAATAGAATAGAATAGAAATAAGGAATAGAATAGAAATAAGGAATAGAATAGAATAGAATAGAATAGAATAGAATAGAAATAAGCAATAGAATAGAATAGAATAGAATAGAAATAAGGAATGGAATAAAATGGAATAGAATAGAATAGAATAGAATAGAATAGAATAGAATAGAAATAAGGAATAGAATAGAATAGAATGGAATAGAATAGAATAGAAATAAGGAATAGAATAGAATAGAAATAAGGAATGGAATAGAATAGAATAGAATAGAATAGAATAGAATAGAATAGAATAGAATAGAAATAAAGAATGGAATGGAATAGAATAGAATAGAAATAAGGAATAGAATAGAATAGAAATAAGGATAGACTAGAATAGAATGGAATAAAATAGAATAGAATAGAATAGAAATAAGGAATAGAATAGAATAGAATAGAAATAAGGAATAGAATAGAATAGAATAGAATAGAAATAAGGAATAGAATAGAATAAAATGGAATAGAATAGAATAGAATAGAAATAAGGAATAGAATAGAATAGAAATGTCTAGGTTGCTTCTCTCCTTGGTTAGTTTCCATCCTTTGCTTATTAGTTTCCCCCCCATTGCTTGAATCATGAATCAAGCTCATCATATTTCATTGATGGCAACCCACCAGGATTAAAGTTCCTTCACTAGCCTGTTTTGGTTCCATTCCTAAGGGATCCCTTACCCAATGCCGGCACTTCAGCAAGATGTCTTGGAACACCTTGGAAGCCATGTGGACAACTTGAAGAGGTAGGAGAGGCTCCCATCCTGCTGAGAGTGGCCGAGGTAGAACTTTCTCCGCGAGGCCTCCCAAGAGCATCCCAATTTCCTTGACAGTTAAAAGTAAAAGGTGAGAAAAAGTTAGGTGGAGTAAGGGAATTCTCGCACCTTTGATGCTACAGAGGTTTTGAATGTATCTAATGCTTCATGGTGCTATCCTATCTCCAGTCCATGAGGTGGTGCAATCTTGAAAAGTCCATGAAAGAGTTTGATTTCATTGCCTGCTGACCGAGCTTAAGCTGGTAGCTGAACTAATCCATTTGTCAGGATTAGTCCTTGATCAAAATCTTTCATTTATTAGGCACAACAATCGAAACTCCGACTCAGTTGCAGCCAACACTGACTTCCTGGTCCAAACCCACCCTTTCCTTTCCCCACTGCTCTGCTTCTCATTGGCCATCTTCCAAGTCACTCTGCTGTTATCTACTACTTTAGCTCAAAGGAATTTCCCCCCTCCCAATCCATCTCCTAGGGGATAGTATCTCCAGGGAAAATAAGTAGGTGAAAAGTCAAGTGTCCTCTTGCCAGATGCCCCCACCTTCTCCTTCTTATGTCAACACTGGAGTGAATGCAGCTTGGAGTGCTGACACCGTTTTTCTGAGTCTGCACATTGTGCTGAACCATATACTAATTAAAGAGGGTATCAGAATTCCAACGGATACACTAATTAAATCATGAGCCTTGAGGCCAAGCTTCAAAAGAAATCCAGTTATTTATTAGGAGCTTCATGTCAGCACGTTCCAAGTGAAGCCAACTCTAACCCCACATAATTTACGGCCCAGATTTGACCCTGTTTCCCCCCTCCCCCCAGGGTGTGTCATCAGTCACATTTGCCAATGGAGCAATTTCACGTGTGGTAAAGGTCACTCCCCTCCGGCCGCTGTGGGTAACCCTGGGAGACAGCCTTGAGAGAGAGCATTAGGAGAACTGCCCTTTTGAGCACAGAAGACTGGATTAAATCTTTCATGCAAGAAACTCGAAGTATTCACAAACTACTCACTTTAACCGAGACCCAACAACAGGTCAGAATGAGGCTGTGTTCCTCGGAGAGGAGAACCATATCTTCTTCCTCCTCCTCCTCCAAGCCTTTTCCTAGCCGGATGAGGCTGCCAATGGCATTTCCCATGTCTGCAAAGGAGGGTGATGAAGCTGCCCCAAGTAAAATAAATAAAATAATAATAATAATAATAATAATAATAATAATAATAATAATAATAATAATAATAATAATAATAATAATACGTTTGGTTGGCATATTTCTTTGCCAATCAATTTCAGCCAGGCATCAAGAATTGAGCATGAATATCATCCAGAGATGGCTTTTGCTCATCAACATAAATTAGAAATGTTCTCCTACTTAATCTATATACATAAAAGCGAAAACCATTCACGCATTAATCACAAAATCTCCAGAACCGTAAAGGCTACAAACTTGAAATTTGCCACGTATGTTCCTCTTGGCTTCTAGGTGCTCACTAACAAAGGACCATCAGAGTATTAGTATTTCCTATATTATGATTAACATGCTCTGATGCTAAGGAGTTCTATCCCCACCTGAAAAGAAATCTGTTCCAAATGCAAAACACAAGCAGAGGAGAGGAGTTTCACTTTCTCTCCTTGATTAGTTTCCATCCATTGCTTCTTGTCCTGCCTTCTGGTGCTTTGGAGAATAGCTTGACTCCCTCTTCTTTGGGGCAGCCCCTGAGATATTGGAAGACTGCTATCATGTCTCCCCTAGTCCTTCTCTTCATTAAACTAGACATACCCAGTTCCTGAAACCGCTCTTCATATGTTTTAGCCTCCAATCCCCTAATCATCTTGGTTGCTTGGACTCCAATTCCCAGCTTTGCTGGCTGGGGAATTCTGGGAGTTGGAAGTCCACCCATCTTAAAACTGCCAAGGTTGAGAAACACCTGGTTAAAGGATCCTGATTACAGATTTTTTTTTTCCTGCTGGCTTGGGTTTACCGTGTTGGTCTGTGCTTGATGCTTGATGACTTTGCAACACGCTCAAGAGTAAATCACTGACGTCTCTCACTGCAATCACCAAACGCTGAAAGAATAACCGCCAGTGTGGCATCTTCTGGGCTTCTAACATAGAAGACACAACCTCCGGTTCTTCAAGCAGGCATCTCCGTAATGCCAAAATCACCCCTGCAGGAAACCAACAGAAGACCTGGAACCATCATCTCATACCCGCTAAAAATTAAGGAATCCAACTCGCAAAGCATCCCTGGTCTGCTCTCGAGTTGCCATAAGCAAAGGGGATGGGAAACCGGCAAAGCAACAAGGCAGCCAAAAACGAAAGCACATTCCAGACATCTCTCTCTCAAGGATGTCTCCCAGGGTTACCCACAGCGGCCCGGTGGGGAGTGATCTCTACAACCCACAAATTCTTTGAAGATGTTTCACTTCTCATCCAAGAGCTGAAGCTCATAGCATCTTCCATATAGATATATGTCCCCGCTACTTTTTTTAATTTTTAATCTCTCAGGAAAAAAAAAAAAAAGAATGAGGTACTGACCATGTATTGGGGTTGTGTGAGCTGCCAACAATAAGTCACGAGAAGCTGTGACAAAATGATTCCGTAGCATGTTGAGCAAATGTTCAAGAAAAGAGAGATATTTGCATGGCATAGTTGGCTCCTTCTCAGTTCCCAACAATGACCGCTCCAAGATATGACGATCCAACCTGATGGAGTTAAGCAGAGGTGAACTTGGCCCAACAGACTCAATCCTGAACACAGTCACTGTTGGGTTGATGGAACAAGTCCAACTCTGTTATTTCTGTTATTCTGACTTGTCTTCCTCCCTCCCTCCCTATCATTTTCCTTCCTTCCTTCTTTCTTTCCTTTCCTTTTTCCTTCCTTCCTTCCTCCCTCCCATTTTCCCTTCCATTTTCCTTCCTTCTTTCCTTTTCTTTCCCTCTTTCTTTCTTTCCCTTTCTTTCTTTTTTTCCTCCCTCCCTCCCATTTTCCTCCCTTCCTTCTTCTTCTTTCTTTTTTCCTTTTTCCTCCCTCCCTCCCTCCTATTTTCTCTTTTTCCATTTTCCTTCCTTCTTTCCCTTTCTTTTCCTCTTTCTTTCTTTCCCTTTCTTTCTTTCTTTCTTTCCTCCCTCCCTCCCATTTTCCTCCCTCCCTCCTCCCTCCCTCCCATTTTCCTCCCTTATTTCCTTTTCCTTCCTTCCTTCCTTCTTTCTTCTTTTCTTTTTTTTTCTTTCTTTCTTTCTTTCTTTCTTTCTTTCTTTCTTTCTTTCTTTCTTTTCCTTTCCTTTCCTTTCCTTTCCTTTCCTTTCTTTTCTCCCTCCCTCCCATTTTCCTCCCTTATTTCCTTTTCCTTCCTTCCTTCTTTCTCTTTCTTTTCTTTCCTTCCTTCCTTCCTCCCTCCCTCCCATTTTCCTCCCTCCTTCCTTCCTTCCTTCCTTCCTTCCTTCCTTCCTTCCTTCCTCCCTCCCTCCCTCCCTCCCTCCCTCCCTCCCTCCCTCTTTATTTCAGCAACTGAGCTTAAAGGCCAAGAAAACCAGGAAGCAAAGTCTTACTTGGGAAGTAGAGTCTTCATCACTGCTGCCCCTGCTTCGCTCTCTTGGACCCGGGGACTGCTTACGGCTTCTAGGGCCCACCCAAAAAGAGCTACAGCAGCAGAGCCCGGCAAATCTGGTGGGAAGTAAGAGATCAGCAACTCTGAGGCCAACTCACGGATCTGGGTGGAAACAGAAGAAAGACTCCGTAAGGAGAAGACCTCTAGCAGATGACAGGGCGCCCTGCATTGTGTCCAGCAAGCTGGGAAATAGTTTTCAAGCAGGCTTCTGTTCAGAAATGAACATTAGGGAAGGATGAAGGAGGTGTTTTCATATGCCTAATCTTCTCTGGAGCCAGAGAAGTGTGTGCATGAAGCGAACTGGTGGTAACACCATGATCTGTCCCCGTCCACACACACACACACAAACACAGCCAGCCGAGGGTTAAGAAAGTACTTGGCACGCACACAGGTCGTTATCTCAAACTTGGCAGCAATATAAGCACCGTCTGCCAAGAGCTTTTACTGCAACAGATAACATAAAATTACATACGCATTGCAAATAGTCCAGCAAAACAATATTCCTTTCGGCAGCTTCAGACGTTGTTCAAGTGACTAGCCAAAGTTCGTTTTTGTTCGTCACGGAGTTTTATCAGCCACCACCCTCTCTTATATAGTCTCTGGGGTGTGGTCCAGTGACTCAGTTCTAATCCCTAGCACGCCTCCTTAATTGCTGCAACCGTTTATCACGCCTTCGTTGGCGTGCATCCAGGAATGACAGCTCTCCTTCGCTCTCATCCGAGACACCTGGCTCCTGGCTAATCTCCTCTCCCTCGGCCGGCACCTGAGACAGTGCCAGAGGGGAGGGGCCTGGAGAGGGAAGCCTGGCTGACTCCTCTTCCTCATGTTCGGAGCTTTCTTCCTCCGATGAGATAGGCTCAGAGGGCATGGCCACAACACACCAGTTGAAACCCACCACTGCTCCAGAGGTCTCAAGATGGCTTCCAGGTCTGAAAATAGGACTATCTATCAGCAGAGCTCACCACATGGCACAACCAAGCTCCTTCATTGCATCACCCAGCAAGGTTCCACCAAAGTTGATTCAGACAAACATTACTCCCCATGGGAGCCTGACCGCAACCAATAGAATACATTGTCCTTGCCACAGGAACAGGAAGCTCAAGTTCAACGGCCAAGAGAGGGTATAAATACCTCTCGCTCTCCACGCCGTGTGTTCCGCTCCCCAGAATCACACGTGCTTGGTGGGTTCGGCTTCACCATTACATCATCTTTCCAATCAGCCTCCGTCTTTCCAGTGTCTTTCTCTCCACTTGGAACTGAACCCAGATGGACATTTCTTCCAACATTAGCGAAGGCTAGGTGGACCGCCATACCTCATTCGTGCTATCCTGCAAACAGCTCAACAGCGCCAATGTGTTCCCAGTGGAAAAAATGTCCCAGTAGCCTTTATCCGTGGACCAGCATAATAAGGTAGCCATGTTGCCTGGAGAGACAGCAAACATAGCTTAGGAAGAAGGAAGAAGCTTATCTGAAGAGCGTCTGGTGAACTAGATCGTACATGGGAAATTGTGGGGAGGGAGGAGAAGATTGCCACCCCAATCCTTTTCCAAATGATTCCAGCCCATCTCTTTTGTACATCCCACCCTCCTATTATCAATCAATCAGAATAGAGGGACCTCAGAGGTCTTCTAGTCCAACCCCTTGCTCAAGCAGGAGAACCTATACCATTTCAGACAAGTGGCTGTCCGGTCTCTTCTTAAAAACCTCCAGTGATGAAACAACCATAACAGTGGTGGGATTCAACATTTTTTTACTGCCAATTCTTTGGGTGTGACGTGGCATGGCTTGGTGGGTGTGGCTTGGTGGGTGTGGCTTGGTGGGTGTGGCAGGGGAAGGATACTGTAAAATCTCCATTCCCACTCCACTCCAGGGGAAGGTTACTGCATTCCCCATAATCCCCATTTCTTCCCGATCAGCTGGGACTCGGGAGGCAGAGAATAGATGGGGGTGGGGCCAGTCACAGGTGGTATTTACCAGTTCTCCGAACTACTCAAAATTTCCACTACCAGTTCTCCAGAACTGGTCAGAACCTGCTGGATTTCACCCCTGCATCTATTTAATCTTAAACTGGCGCAGAGTGCGGCCGCGCGGGTGGTAATGGGAGCGACATGGCGTTCCCATGTAGCACCGCTCCTGCGCGAGCTGCACTGGATCCCGGTGGTCTTCCCGGTGCGCTTCAGGGTTTTGGTTACCACCTTTAGAGCGCTCCATGGCTTAGGACCTGGTTACCTACGGGACCGCCTACTACCACCAATAGCCTCCCACCGGCCGGTATGCTCTCATAGAGAGGGACTCCTCCGGGTGCCGTCAGCCAAACAATGTCGACTGGCGGCCCCTAGGGGGAGGGCCTTCTCTGTGGGGGCACCTACTGTCTGGAATGAGCTCCCGCCGGAGATACGGAGGATCCCGGATCTGCGCACCTTCCGCCGCGCTCTAAAGACCTTTTTATTTCACCAGGCGGACTTGGCCTAATCTTTTCCCTTTTTTTTAATATGTAAATTTTAATCTGTTTTTAAATTATTGGGGTGTTTTAATTTGTCTGGGCCAAAATTGTTTAATTCGATTTTATTTGGTTTTTAAATTTTTTGTATTTTTTGTATTTTATTGTTTGGCTGTTCACCGCCCTGAGTCCTTCAGGAGTAGGGAGGTATACAAATCAAATAAATCAAATAAATAAATAAACTTAGCCCCTTCTTAACCCCTCCTTCCAATGTAGGTGGAGATGCCACCACAGTCTTCACTGGATCCCTATTTTTGAAGGCTACACCACCGCGTGGGCTTGTGCTGACTGAAGGAATCTGAGATTTGGAGGCCAACCCTTGTTTTCTCCATCCTTGGGCTGGAGAAGGTGGGATAAAGCCACTTACGTGGAGGCTGGCCCTTCTTTCTCTCAGGTCTCCAAGTGTCTGTGAAGGTCTCCAAGATGGCTGCCAGGAGAAGAAGAGCTGTTTTCCTCCTTTGGTAGTTGGAACCTGACATCAGAGACGTCGTGCAGAGCTTCAGCAGCCAATCCACAAACTCTAAATAGAGAAAGATATATTTTTTTGCATGACCTACACAAAGGTGCATGAATGAGGATTCTGGGGAACATCGGGGTGGAGAAAGATTTATGTTCTGTTCTCTGTGAGGAGGGGGTTCTGGTCATAATTTGAGGAGTGGTCCCAAATTTGGTCATAATTTGAGGATATATGTGTGTGTGTGTGTGTGTGTGTGTGTGTGTTTAGATATGTATATATCGGGTGGGTTTCACTTACCTTTGCTACCGGTTCGCTCGTGCGCATGCTCGCTTCAGTTGCGCGCGTGCCACTTCTGTGTATGCGCAGATTGTATTTGATGACATCCGGGGGTGGGCGGAGCCTCCCGCCACTGCTGCTACCGGTTTGCCCCGGTTTGGGCGAACCTAACCCACCATTGGTATGTATATATATGTGTGTGTGTGTGTGTGTGTGTGTGTGTGTGTGTGTGTGTGTGTGTGTATAAAAGGAAGGAAGGAAGGAAGGAATCAAAGAAAGAAAGAAAGAAAGAACAGCTTCACTAATCTTCAAATCCCTCTGTTAACCATCTGTTATTATATTTAGCGCGCAGAAAGTCCATAAACGGTTTCCAGTCTCTTACAAAGCTGTCTAGTCCATTATCTCTAATCAAACCAGTTCATTTCACCATCTCTGCTAATTCAGTCAATTTCAAAATCCATTTCTTCAACAGCTCCTTTTTCTATCCAATGTTCGTCAACGACAATCCTCGCAAGCCGCACACGATCTTCATTTGAGGACTACCTAAATTTGACCCATTGTTTCTGGCACAGCCTCTAAGCATGGTTAGGAGGTAACTCACCTACAGCTTGAAGGACTTTTCTTTCTTGGTCCTTTCTGACCAAGCTTTCCTTCTGGTTGGCCTTCTGTTGCCGAAGCACAGCTAGAGAGCTGTCCCTTATTCTGACCAAAGCCTTCTTCACCATGGCTTGAAGGAGTTGCCGAAAAGAAGAGGAATCGCAACTCAAATTCAGGGGCAGGAATTCTTTTAAGAGTTGGATCTCCCTCTCCGATAAAACCTGACTGGTCTTGGGAGCTGAGCAGAGGAAGCCCAAGGCTGCCAGACGGACAATTTCTTCTTTGGAGAAGAGGCACCAGGTGAGTCTCTTCAAGGTCTCCTCATCTGTGAGCAAGTCTCCTGCAAGGGTCTTTTGAACATTCAACAAGGAGACCCACGCTCGGAGGTGAGAGGCCTCCCTGCCCCCAAATCTTGTGGCCAGCAGCGCGTAAGAAGCAGGAAAGACTCTCAAAGTCCACCCGAGAACGTGGCTGGAGGCGTTGCTTTGAAGGAAAGGGTCAGAAGAGGTCAAGGCACTAGAGAGGGTCGGTAACCAACAACTGGACCACTTGTGAGCCAGTTGTTCTTCTGAGACTTCATCCTCCACCTCCGTCCAGGCTTTGCGCTGCAGTCGTAGGAGAGTTTTGTACAAATCCGAAGCGATGGGACACAGACGGTTGGTGGACAAGCAGTTGAAGAGGTGTTGAGGGAGATCGGCGTAGATCTCCAGAACCTTGGCAGAAAAATCCACAAAGCAATATCATCAGAATCCATAAAACCATAATTCTTTTACCCAACATATTTAATATCTGGACAGGTTGGGGAGGAACTTCAGGAAGAACAAAGATTAAGATCATAATGTACTGGTAACATAAACAGGTGGTCCTTGACTTATGACTGTAGTTGAGCCTACAATGACAGTTACAGGTAGTCCATAACTGAGCCCAACATTTCTGTTGCTAAGTGAGATGGTTGTTAAGTGAGTTTTGCCCCATTTCACAACTTTCCTTGCTGATTAATTGTTCTAACTGTCAGGAAATTTCTCAGTTCTAAGTTGCTTCTCTTCTTGATTAGTTTCCACCCATTGCTTCTTGTCCTGCCCTCAGGTGCTTTGGAGAATAGCTTGACTCCCTCTTCTTTGTGGGCAGCCCCTGAGATATTGGAACTCTGCTATTATGTCACCCCTAGTCATAATAATAATAATAATAATAAAATCATCATCATCATCATCGCTTATACATAGTAATAGTCGATCATAATAATATATTGTTTACTTATATATAATATTAACCTTTCATCATTTACTTATACATATTGGCAACCTTTTTATTTTCTAAGTTCTACTTCTGTTGTCTAGCCATTGATAAAACAAGTCCCATGTTAAAAAAAAATCTGTTTCTTCCTTGTCCTTTATTTTTAATGTCAGTTTATCCATCTCTGCACAGTCTAGTATCTTTCTATCTGCACATGATCTTAACGATCATTGTCGAATATGACATAGTCAGGCAATTCTGAAAATTGAGAGTATCATTTCAAGAATAATCCAGATGGCCAATTTTATACTGTGACTAGCTGTTAACCCAGCGTTGCCTGGGTATAGTGGAGGGAGCTGCCTTGGGGAGTACTGTGAAGCCGTTACCATGGCAACTCCACTGTGCTGTACAGTAGAAGCCATTTTAAGGCACAACAGGCTGTATCTTAACAGAACGTGAATCCAAAATGCACACTATCACTGTCAAAAGGACTGTGATTTGACACTATAGATATAATTCATTCCTTTTCATTTCAGCGGCCCAGGCATTCCAGAGTTATGCTGGAACACACACACACACACACACACACACACACACACACACCAAGGGGTGTTAGGGGTGTCTTACCCCCCACAGTATTTCTTTCTAAGGAGTAAGTCATCTGTGTACCAAGTTTGGTTGAAATTGCTCGAGGCATTTCAGAGTTATGCTGGAACATACACACAAAGACATATCCACAGCCATTTGTATATAGATAAATAATTTATAGCAAAAGAGATACTTACCTTTTGGGGGCCCAAGTAGGGAAGAATTGCACTGAGTGCGAAATATCTCGCTCTTGCTTCCCAAGGCATGAAAATAACCCTTTGCAGGTACTCTCTAAACAGGGATCTCTCCGGATCCCCAAAGCAATCACATTCCAGGCTGTAGATCTCTAAGAGAATTCGAAAGGAGCTGTGGACAAAATCGCTCACTCCTTCTGTCTGGATCAGGATGGGAGAGAAGCCGATCGAGAAATAAAAGAGGTGTCAATGGAAGTTATTTCAGGGAGTCCTCGACTAACAACAGTTCGTTTAGTGACCAAAGTTACAACGGCACTGAAAAAAATAATTTAGGATTGTTTTTCACACTTACGACCATTGCAGTATCCCCCATAGTCACGTGTTCAAAATTTGGACGCTTGGCAACTGACTGATACCTCCTGACAAGCAAAATCAGTGGGGAAGCCAGATTCATATAACAACCATTTTACTAACTTAACAACTGCAGCGATTTGCTTAACAAACGTGGCACGAAAGGTCCTAAAATGGGGTAAAACTGACTTAACAAATGTTTCGCTTAGCAACAAAAAATTTTGGGCTCCATTGCAGTCGTAAGTCGAGAACTAACTGTATACATGGAAAGAGACACAGATCACTCCATTTCAAGGCGATACAAGCTTGGGATCAATGAACCATGAAAATTTTGGACCTCATCTTCTCTCTCTCTCTCTATTGTTATCCAGTAAAAGGCCCCTTTTTAAAAATTTGGGTTTATTTTTTAGTGGATTCACCGTGTTATTTGTATCTTCTCCCATGCTACCTTTATCATTTAATGACTGTTTTGGGGTGTTTTGATATCTGCCTTGACTTGATTTCTGGGGCCTGCAGTTTTCATGCAAGAAATTTTTGGGCAAGATTATCAGAAAAGCTTATATTTTCTTCTTTGGCTGAGACAGAAGGACTGGCCCAGTTGGCTTTCAATCAAAGGCAGAACTAGACTTCCCAATCACCCAGTTTCTAACTTAATGCCTTAACCATTACGCCAAATTGGCTCCCTTGTTTGTATACCATATTATCAAGGGCAGTGGTGGGTTTCAAAAATGTTTACTACCGGTTCTGTGGGTGTGGCTTGGTGGGTGTGGCATGGCTTGGTGGGCGTGGCAGGGGAAGGATACTGTAAAATCTCCATTCCCACCCCACTCCAGGGGAAGGATACTGCAAAATCCCCATTTCCTCCCAATCAGCTGGGACTTGGGAGGCAGAGAATAGATGGGGGCGGGGGCCACTCAGAATTTTTACTACCGGTTCTCCGAACTAATCAAAATTTCCGCGACCGGTTCTCCGGAACTGGTCAGAACCTGCTGAAACCCACCTTTGATCAAGGGTGGGCTGCTGGGGATTCGGGAGAACCTCTAGCTAAGATTCTGTGTACAGAGAACTCCCAAATCCCACTCCTGGATGGCCCCGCCCACCCTGCCCCGCCCCTCCCAGGAGTCCCCACGCGGTCCATTTTGAATGCAGGTAAGTGCAGGGCGCATGCGGAGGCTCAGGGAGGGCCAAAAAAAGGCCTACCGGAAGTTCGGGAAGGCCGGAAATGGGCCTGTTTCCGGCTTCCAGAGGCTCTCCAGAGCCTGGGGAGGCAGTTTTCACCCTCCAGTTGAGGCTCAAGGAAAGCCTCCGGAGCCCGGGGAGGACAAAAATGACCCCCTGCCATGGTGCAGGAGGCCGATTAGGCCACACCCACCGTGGCCACGCCCACCCAGCAACTGGGCAGAGAACCCCTTGCTAAAATTTTTGAAGCCCGCCCCTGCATATTATCATGTACAAACAGTATTTATTTACATTTTTTTTTTATGCCGCCCTTCTCCGGAGACTCAGGGCGGCTTACAATGCGTTAAGCAACAGCCTTCATACTTTTGTATATTTTATACAAAGTCAGCTTATTGCCCCCACAAACTGGGTCCTCAATTTACCTACCTTAGAAAGGATGGAAGGCTGAGTCAACCTTGAGCCTGGCGAGATTCGAACTTACTTTAATTGCAGACAGCTGGTGTTAAATTACAGTGCCTTGTCTGCAGAGTTATCCAGGCTCCTGATATTGATACTTCAGTATCATTTGGCATTGGAAGATTAAATTGCATCGCTCAAAGGTGTAAACACAAGGTATTCAACCATCAAAGCAACCAAATTATAGAAAATAATGACGGAATTTCAAACCATGTCAGTTCTTCCTAGATTTAAGAAAGCTTTTGTGCAGCTCATTCTTTTTGCAACGTAGGTAATTTTACAGGGTGACATTTGGAAAGCAGAAAGAATGAAACCTTCCCCGCCTCCCCTTAAATAAAAATAAATATGGTGACTTACTGGACTTTCTGCATTGTTCCAAACAATCTTGTTTAGCCTTTGGAGAAGTCCTGAATTGTCACCCAGCAATGAGCTCTCCTTGACTTTCCAGAGGTCCTTCAAACTTTCTCGGACACGTTGAAGCCACAGAGAAAAAACTGGGAAAGCAATAAGGAATATTAAAGGTAATGTTGAAACGATTCTTGCATCTTAGTTACTTACTCATTTTTCTTTAAGTTTGGTCTTTCTCAGGGGTGAAATCCACCAGGTTCTCACAGGTTTAAGATTCTCTGCACAGAATCTTAGCTAAAGGTTCTCCCGAACCCCTGCGAACCCCCAGCAGCCCACTCCTGGCAGAGATTTGTTTAAGAATCATGGCCAATAAAAATCGTAAAATTGGATGCGACACTTAAAAGAATGATTCTACTTGAAGGGAGAAGATGGCTAGGACTTGCTGTCTGAATGAGATGCGGGCATGTGATTTTGCCTACCTTGGAAGGAGTAATAAGAGCAGCTTGTGGGTTCTTCTATCACGTCTAAAACAGCTGGAAAGAGGACATCCAGCAACAAGCACTGCGGGAAAGCAAAAATAATGAAGTTCAGGAAAAACGGAGGAAATTGCAAACACATCGAGATAATTTTTTTTAAAAAAATGAATTTAGGAGGGCTTGTTTTGTAAATAAGGCAACTTCTTGTTGTGGCCCGCCGGCGACCAGCAGTAGAGTCGGACAGTGAGGAGGTTGGGGAGGAACTTGGGCCAGTCCTGGGGGCTGGGGAAAGCTCGGACGAGGGCTCTGCATCGGAGGCAGAGAGGGGACCAAGGCCATCTGGGAGTTATGTGCAGCCTCCGGAGTCTGACAGCAGCGAGGCAGAAGAACAGCGGGAGCCTGTTCCCAGTGTGTGCATGCGCAGAGCTGCCAGATGACAGGAACAATTAAGAAAACAGGATCAACTTGGGAGTAAGGCTTGGAGATGATTGGCCCCTCCCATAAGACATAAAAGAAGAGCAAACGGGATGTGAGCTTTTGCAGGGAGCAATTAGTTCATCTGGCCGATTCAAGATTTGAAAGTTCTGTTTGTGACTCTGTGCCAAGTTTGGCCTTGCCCTGCGTCTGGAAATTAGCTCTCTGGCAGCGTTCCACGTGAGATAGGTGGATTACCTTCCTCTGAAGGACTGTTTATCAAGCCTTACAGACTGTAAACAAAAGTAATTTTCAGTTTAATAAATAAAAGAGGTTTTGCAGGACTAAGATTGTGCTTTATACTTTCTAAGGAAGCCTAGGTCACAACACTTCTTTAGAGAAACAGAGAATGCCAATTCACAGACAACACCTCAACTTTAAAAATAGTTTTTAAACTTGTCTATGGAATTTGAACTTATCTAAGGAATCTGCACAGAAAGATCCTATCAGGCCCTGGAGGCCAACTTTTCTTTTGGATCTTCAGGGTTGCCACACTTAATGCTGTGGGAAAGTGCGGGGAGGGGTGGGGTTGCATGGAGTTGTAGAAGTATTTAGCCATAACAACATTCTTTTCTCTGAGAGTCAAGGACGTTCAGCCTGCACCTGGAGTGGCGTGACTGGGAGGCATCTCCAGTTGGGACGGTGGATGGATTGGACCATGTGATGGGCATCTAGGTGCAGGGGAAGGGACTTTGACTTTATTTTGGGTGGGGAAAACTCGGGGGCTTTCAGATTTGGGTTTTCCCAGATGTGCCATCATGACATCTCTAATAAAATGGAAGAAGGGACGTGGTGGCTCAATGGCTAAAATGCTGAGCTTGTCGATCGAAAGGTCGGCAGTTCAGTGGTTCGAATCCCTAGTGCCGCGTAACGGGGTGAGCTCCCGTGACTTGTCCCAGCTTCTGCCAACCTAGCAGCTCGAAAGCACGTAAAAAATGCAAGTAGAAAAATAGGGACCCCCTTTGGTGGGAAGGGAACAGCGTTCTGTGCGCCTTTGGCGTTGAGTCATGCCGGCCACATCACCACGGAGATGTTTCCGGACAGCGCTGGCTCTTCGGCTTTGAAAGGGAGATGAGCACCGCCTCCTAGAGTCGGGAATGACTAGCACGTATGTGCGAAGGGAATCTTTACCTTTACCTTAATAAAATGGATCTTTGAGGAATTGCTTGCCTCGGAGTCTTAGTAGGGGGTATTATTTGGAACCCTGACAAATCAATTGCTCTTCAGGTTAATGAACTGGTCATTCGTAACTTGGGCCCTGATGTTCATCCAGCTTTGTGTTATGCTGGAATAATTATGTTTAAGGTATTTTAAAAACGATAATGTTAAAGGGTACCTTTTGCGGGGTACCACCATCCAGAAGACAGCTCAAGATCTCTTTCTTGCAACAGGTTAGTAAGCCACGAGTCATCACCAGCTTCTCCAAACTACCTGGGTTCAGGGTAGAAGCGGGGATCCAAAGTGCCCCAAACTGGCACCCCTCTGGGCAAAAAATAAAATAAAAATAAAAATCCAAATATGCTATCAATATCAATTCCGTCCTTCAGTTGGCTCAGAAGGAGTGGAAGAAGAAAGATGAGGAAAAGAAGGAGAAGAAGATGAGGAAATGAGGAGGGGGAGGAAGAAAGATGAGGAGAAGGAGATGATGATGATGATAAGGAGATGAAGAGAAGGAGAAGAAAACAATGAGATGAGGAAGAAGAGGAGGAGAAGGACAAGGAAGAGGAGAAGAAGATGAGATGAGGAAGAGAAGGAGAAGAAAACGAGAAGGAGATGAGGAGGAAGAGGAAGAGAGGGACAAGGAAGAGGAGAAGGAGAAGAAGATGAGAAGGAGATAAGGAGCAAGAGGAAGAAGGTGAAGTAAACGACGAGATGAGGAGGAAGAGAAGGACAAGGAAGAGGAGAAGAAGGAGAAGAAGATGAGAATGAGATGAGGAGGAAGAGAAGGAGAAGAAAATAATGAGAAGATGAGGAAGAGGAAGAGGAAGAGAAGGACAAGGAAGAGGAGAAGGAGAAGAAGATGAGAAGGAGATAAGGAGCAAGAGGAAGAAGGTGAAGTAAACGACGAGATGAGGAGGAAGAGAAGGACAAGGAAGAGGAGAAGAAGGAGAAGAAGATGAGAATGAGATGAGGAGGAAGAGAAGGAGAAGAAAATAATGAGAAGATGAGGAAGAGGAAGAGGAAGAGAAGGACAAGGAAGAGGAGAAGGAGAAGAAAATGATGAGAAGGAGATGAGGCGGAAGAGGAAGAGAAGGAGAAGGAAGAGGAGAAGGAGATGAGAAGGAGATGAGGAAGAGAAGGAGAAGAAAACGATGAGAAGGAGATGAGGAAGAGGAAGAGAAGGACAAGGAAGAGGAGAAAAAGAAGATGAGAAGGAGATGAGGAGGAAGAGAAGGAGAAGAAAACGAGGTGAGGAGGAAGAGAAGGACAAGGAAGAGGAAAAGAAGGAGAAGAAGATGAGATGAGGAGGAAGAGGAAGAGGAAGAGAAGGAGAAGATGATGATGAGAAAGAGATTAGGAAATGAGGAGGAGGAAGAGGACGAGAAGGAGAAGAAGGAGATGAAAAGGAAGAGAAGGAGAAGAAAATGAGAAGGAGATAAGAAGGAGAAGACCTGCTGATCAGAACCACCTGAGATTTACTGACAGTTAGAAAAAAGAGCCTTGATAGTACAGTGGTTTAGTGCACCCTGTTATTAACACCAGCTGCCTGCAATTACTGCAGGTTCGAATCTCTCCAAGGCTCAAGGTTGACTCAGCCTTCCATCCTTTCTAAGGTAGGTAAATTGAGGACCCAGTTTGTGGGGGCAATAAGCTGACTTTGTATAAATATACAAAAGGATGAAGGCTATTGCTTAGCGCATTGTAAGCCGCCCTGAGTCTCCGGAGAAGGGCGGCATATAAATCAAATTAAAAAAAAAAAAATAATCTGTGAGTTTTCTCAAAGATATTTCTCAAAGAGGCATAAGCTACGCAATATTTGCAATCAAAACGGTGCCTCCCTCGAATAAATGAACGGGCGAGAAAGAGAGCTGGCCACGTGCGCCAAGGAAAGGAACACGGACCTGAGCATACCTTTGCGTTCCTCTGTTCTTTGGGCATTCCAATTCATTAGGAGGTAAAACGCCCAGATGGCTTTGGCTCCTGCTTCAACTTCCGGGGCTGTATTCACCATCATGCTCACCGTAGTTCCAGCCAGGAGACGGTTGTCTTTGCAGGCGGTCTGCAACCAATACCCAAGAGGTCAACCTAAACCGGGATTTTGTTTCAGTAGAGTTTTTTTTTTAATTTGATTTATATGCCGCCCTTCTCCGGAGACTCAGGGCGGCTTACAATGCGTTAAGCAATAGCCTTCATTCTTTTGTATATTTATACAAAATCAGCTTATTGCCCCCACAATCTGGGTCCTCATTTCACCTACCTTAGAAATGATGGAAGGCTGAGTCAACCTTGAGCCTGGCGGGATTCGATCTTACTTTAATTGCAGACAGCTGGTGTTAAATTACAGAGCTCTGTCTGTTGAGCTATCCAGAGGTTTGATCTCTGGCAAAATGACACCGTTCAAGATTCTCCTTATTTCGGGCCAGTCTCTCCCACCCCATAGCTCTCTCTCCGTCGGAGCTATTTTTTTGAATCCCCCCATAGAATTTCCTCCCTTCAGATTTGTACGTTCTACAAAACTGGGATCTCCTAAAAACCTGCAGATCCTGATTTTAATATGGGGGGGCTCTCGATTGACTATATACAAAACAAATATGGGACTAAAAAGTTGCAAATAGCTTATGAATGAAATATTTAGATGATTTTTCTTCTTATTCTGATATTTTGGTACCTATGGGGGAGTTAAAGAGTAAGGGGGAGTTAAGAGCTTATAGTTAGTATGTTAGATTATGTTTGTTAAATGCAATACCTTGGATTTTGCTCTGGGAAGTCGGGGGGAGGGGGGAGGGAGGGAGGGAGAAGGGAATGGGTGGGGGGAGGAGGGGGGAGAAATCTGTTTGTAAAACATTCTAAAACTTTTCAATTAAAAAAAAATATAAAAAAAATGTTGGCTCTCTTTTAGTGGCATACATTTAAAAATATGGAACTTGTATATGGAATTTCAACCAATCTATGGAATTTGCATATTCCATATAGGCATAGACGGGGTGTGTCTAGTTTGATGAAAAGACGGACTAGGGGAGACATGATAGCAGTCTTCCAATATCTCAGGGGCTGCCCCAAAGAAGAGGGAGTCAAGCTATTCTCAAAAGCATTTGAAGCAGGGGTGAAATCCAGCTCGTTCGGACAAGGTTCTGGAGAACCGGTAGCGGAGATTTTGAGCAGTTCGGAGAACCGGTAGCGGAAATTTTGAGTAGTTTGGAGAACTGGCAAATACCACCTCCGGCTGGCCCCAGAGTGGGGTGGGAATGGAGATTTTGCAATATCCTCCCAGGAGTGGGGAGGGAATGGGGATTTTGCAGTATCCTTTCCCTGGAGTGGGGAGGGAATGGAGATTTTGCAGTATCCTTCCCCTGGAGTGGGGTGGGAATGGAGATTTTGCAGTATCCTTCCCCTGCCACGCCCACCAAGCCACGCCCACAGAACCGGTAGTAAAAAAAAATTGGATTTCACCACTGATTTGAAGGCAGGACAAGAAGCAATGGGTGGAAACTAATCAAGGAGAGAAGCAACCTAGAACTAAGGAGAAATTTCCTAACCGTGAGAATAATTAATCAGCAAGGAAAGTTGTGAAATGAGGCAAAACTCAAAAAAAAAAAAAATCAAATTAAAAATAAAAAAGAATGGCAGAATCTGGGGTGGAGTTAAAAGAGACATCAGTTTACAATCCCTAACTAGCTGCAAACAAAATTCAACCTCCCTTGAATTCCATCGACCTTTATCTATCTACTAGCAAGTGCTAACGCTTAGTTGAGAAGATTCCTGCACATATAAGCTGTTTAGCAATCAACCCATTTAATTGGTCCTTAATGTGTGGTCTTTCGCACCCGACAGATATTCTCACCTGATCCATGATGGTATGCACCAGGGATCTCAAGATCTTTTGCAGCATTTCTCGGTGATCCGTTTCATCCCAGACAAGGGGCTGAATTTCCTCTGACATCCCTTTGAAGAGATGCAGGCAAACCTGAAGAAGCGAGGAGGAGAAAAAGAAGGAGATTGGACAGGTAGGGAGTGTCGAATTTTCTCAACGTTCAATTTCCGAACATTAGTGGTGCTCAAAAGTTGGGACTTAATTTTGGGGATTGTAAACATACGTTGGTTACTCTAATATAATTTAGATGTGCTTGCTAAGTAACTACATAAATATCAAAACTTTTTTAACATTTTGTTTGTTTCATTTGGACGGACATTTGTCCGAAATGAATAGAATAACAGAATTGGAAGGGAACTTGGAGGTCTTCTAGTCCAACCTGGTGACAAGATCCATGTTGTGGCTCCGTTACCTGAGCCTGTGTCATTGGCAGGAGAGGACTCCGAGAGTGAAGGAGAGGAGTTGGCAAGGCCTCCCTCTCCAGGACCCTCCTCTCTGGCAATGCCTTCGGTGTCCGCCGAAGGGCAAGAGATAAGGCCAGGGCCAAGCACGTCCACATAGCCACAGGTGGACATTAATGAGGGAGATGAGTCTTGGCTGGATCCTCGGCAGCGTCGCAGAGATAAGCGCGCGCAACAGAAGAAAAGGTGTGCCAGAGATTAAGCTGAGTCACTGGACCACACCCCACAGGTTATAAAAGGGGGTGAGGTGGCCATTCAGACTCTGTGACGGACAAAACTAACTACTATCGAGTCACATTGCATCTTTGGAAACAGCATTCTCTGCCTTGGATTTAATTACGGACTGGACAATTCTTGAACTGTGTGTATCTTGTTTATGAGTAAAGTTCTTGGCAAGCAGCTACTGGGTTGCTGCCAAGCCTCTTATCGGAAGAATTGGTTGTCTGCCAGTTTATTTAACCCCTGGCTGTCTGTTTGTGTGCGTGTGTGAGACGGGGACAGAACAATCCAGTGGCCTAGAGTTGGAGCTCTTGCCTCACAATCAAGGAGGTTGTGAGTTCGATCCTAGGTAGAGGCAGATGTAGGGTCTCCCGCTTGGGCAGGGGGTTGGACTCGATGACCTGCAAGGTCCCTTCCAACTTGTTCTGCCCCAGCTACGGATCCCAAAGAACGCAGCGCACACAAACTCCGAACAAAACTCAGTTTGCTTCAAAACGCAGTCTTTTGCAAATGCAGGCTGTTAATAAAACGTTCTTAACAACCTGCCTGAAATTCCACAGATAAGATAGAGTCTTACTAGAGTTGGCAGAAAGCCCAGAAGCAAAGTTTGCAGAGAAAATCCAAACTCAATGATCAGCGAACGAACGGACGTTGTTTCCTGCAGCTTTTTACAAAGCTGTGTGCAAACTTAAATAGGCTAAGGGAGTGGCCAAGTAGCCCCAAGCCTTACTCTCGAGGAGACCTCCTTCTGAGTAACCACTCCTGCCTTTTGGCAGCTCTGCGTGCCCGTGCATTGAGAAGAGGCTCCTCCACTTCATCCTCTTCACTTAAAGGAATCTCTGGAGGTTCTGAAGGCCCTGGTTGAATCCCTGTCTCTGGCACCACATCTTCTTCAGCCTCCTCGCTGTCCGACTCAAGTGCCGGCTGCACAGGCTGCTGGCGTGACACCACACCAGTCTCCTCGTCGTCGGGATCAGCAACAATCCACGCAGGCCTCTGGCGGGCCACAACACAACTCTGTTAATCTGTTAATTCTGTTAACCCCCTGCTTAGGCAGGAAACCCTACACCACTTCAGACAAATGGTTATCCAACATCTTCTTAAAGACTTAACTTCCAGTGTTGGAGCATTCACAACTTCTGGAGGCAAGTCGTTCCACTGGTTAATTCTTCTAACTGGTGTAGGATCTCCTGGTTGAGCAGCTGGTTGGATAGAAGACTTCCAAGATCCCTTCCAACTCTGTTATTTTATGTTCTGCATTCTAAATTTAAATGTCTACCTTACCCATCAAACTTTTAACGTTAGGTGGGCCCAAACGGCAATCACTGGCCCTACTTTTTTTCAAAAAAAATAAAATAAAATAAGAAACCTTCAAACTAGGTGATAACACCTTGCCTTTTCTTACCTTTATTGTGACGTAATGCCACTCCACCTGACTGGAGTTTGAATCTCGCAGCAGGACCTCAAAAGTAGCAGCAATGGTTTTCAAGAGCCTTATCAAATTCTTTTTCCAGTACTGGTGTCCTAATGAACTTTCTTCAATGAAGAGGCTTACTATTCAGGAATGGAACAAAGAACAACACGGATTAACACTTTGTAGAAGAATTCACACCTTCTCCGGGGCAGGAGCTGGCATTAGTACACACCTCTCCAGGGAGGTGGGAGACTTTGACGCATGAAGGATGCTCATCAGGTTGCCCTAAGGTCTGTTAAAACAGGAGTCTTTGTAAATTTTAATCAGTCTCTAAACCGGGTGTCAGCAACCTGCAGCTCTGGAGCCGCATGTGGCTCTTTAGGCCCTCTGCTGTTGTTGTGGATTTAATAAGACCAACACAACTTTCAGGGTTAATCAGAGACAATGTATATTGCGCAATAGGTTCAAAGCTCTGTACATGAAGCGTTGAACAAAGACAGAAATTAGGTACAATGGTTTTTATACCCTTCTAGACAAAGGATTCTGTTAACTCAGCAGTTTATGTGATCATATACATTTGTCATTTTTAATTGACACTTCCCAATTACCGTTTCATTTTATTCTTTGCCAACAGTCATAATTCTTTTTGTAGATTACTGAAGCATAGATTCAAATTATCTCTTGTTGATATTACATGTGGTCATCCTTGATCTCTTTAACCTTCATACTGTATATCACCAAATGCTTGTATCTCTGACAACTGAGGGGTCCCTCTGAATGTTTCTACTTCAAAGGAATTATCTCCTTTCAACTGGAGGTAATTGGCTTCCCTCAAACAAGCACATTTCCTTTCTTACAAATAAAGAGGGCCCTTCAGTGATCATCCAGCTGGACCCGCTTACCTACCTACATTACTGTGGCTCCCTGTCGGATGATCCCACCACTAGCTGGCCCGACCCCTTGCCCGCCCCTCCCAGTCACTCCTCGCCTGGCCTGAGAAGGTAAGGACGGGGGTTGGGGGATGGAGAAGTGGTTGAGGCAGAGACAGAGAGATACAGAGGGGGGGTGGGGGGAGAGAGGGAGAGAGGAGGGAGGGAGGAAGGGAGAGAGAGAGAGATATGTCAAAAGGGTTTTGTGGTTCCCGGTGCTTTTTAACAACCAGTTTTCTGCCCTAATGACCGGCTGGGTAGGCGTAGCTAGGGGATCAGTGGGTGACATCGAGTTGACCACGCCTACCCAGGTTCTGTGGCTCCCGGTGTTTTCTTTTCTGTGGGAAACAGGTTCAAATGGCTCTTTTGAGTGTTTAAGGTTGCAGACCCCTGCGAGTCTAAACGAATGGTTGCAATGTGTAGTTTTTTTGCTTTATTTTTGCTTTTAATTTATATGCCGCCCTTCTCCGGAGACTCAGGGCGGCTTACAATGCGCTAAGCAATAGCCTTCATACTTTTGTATATTTATACAAAGTCAGCTTATTGCCCCCATAATCTGGGTCCTCATTTCACCTCCCTTTGAAAGGATGGAAGGCTGAGTCAACCTTGAGCCTGGTGAGATTTGAACTTGCAGTAATTGCAAGCAGCAGATGTTAATCTGTTAATAACAGTGCTTTAGTCCCACTGTACTACAGGCTCTTTCCAGTAGTTGAATCCCTTTGGAGAAAAACACCGGCTCTAATTCGGCTTGGGAACGCCAGGCGTAAATTTCGTAACTGGGAAAGAGGGAAGTGTTGGAAGACTGACCTGTCTGGAGAACCTCAGAAGATGCCGGCTGAAAGGAAGAGAAAATGGGATTAGATTTTCAGGGGGTTCCATACCAAAGTACTTCTCACCACAAGTTGATCTCTGCTCACAACCTCAGCTCTGAGCTTCTTGCAAGATCTGGGTAAGGAGAAGATTCCCTTGCTATTTCTTTTTCTTAAAAAAGGGAACACCATAGTCTTGTTTTCTACCTTTGCTCAATGTCCCACTCCCTTCTAGCACTGATGATGTTACCTAGTTGGGTAATAAAATGTCTGCAAGAAAACAAGCAAGCTCAGAGAGCACCAGGGACCCCACAGTCGTCCTCCTCTTCCTCCTCCTCTTCCTCCTCCTCCTCCTCCTCCTCCTCCTCCTCCTCCTCCTCCTCTCCACAAATCCCACTCCCTTCCAGCACTGATGATGTTACTTAGCGGGGTCATGAAACATCTGCAAGAAAACCACCAAACTCAGAGAGCTCCATGGATCCCATAGTCTTCCTCCTCCTCCTCCTCCTCCTCCTCCTCCTCCTCCTCCTCCTCCTCCTCCTCCTCCTCCTCCTCCTCCTCCTCCTCCCTTCCAGCCCAGATGACGTTACCGAGTTGGGTTATGAAATGTCTAAGAGAGCCCCAAGGACCCTACAAACAGAAGATGAGAAACCAAGAAAACTCCATCGCCCAACTAAAAAATCCAAAGGGAAACTGACAAAGCATCGGAACCCAAAATCCATCATCCATGTTTACCTTGTCATTTTCAATCAGCCCATCCATCAGCCTCCTCAACTCTTCAGACACCAAGGTTATGTTTTGCTCTGATAGCTTCCCAACTATCTACGGGGAAGGGGGAAAAAAAAATCTAAGGGCCACAACCTTAGAATACACACACACACACACACATCTATACACCCAGGACGTGTATAGGGGGTTGTGGGGGTTCGCACGGGTTCGGGAGAACCTCTAGCTAAGATTCTGTGCAGTTTGGAAAACCCCCAAATCCCACTCCTGGCTGCCCCTTCCACCCCGCCCTGCCCCTCCCAGGAGTCCCCACCTGGCCTGTTTTGGATGCAGGTAAGTGCAGGGTGCGCACGGAGGCTTGGGGAGGGTGAAAAATGGGCCTATCGGAGGCCCTACCACAGGCCCATTTCCGGCCTCCAGAGGGCCTCCGGAGCCTGGGGAGGCCATTTTAGCACTCCCGGAGGCTCAAGGAAAGCCTCCGGAGCCCAGGGAGGGCAAAAACGCCCCCCACCCCCGCTGTGGTGCAGGAGGCTGACTGGCCACACCCACCATGGCCACGCCCATCCCTGCATACACCTATTATCATTTTATTAACAACTTCAGAAGACCTCCAAGGTCCCTTCCAACTCCTATTCTATTCTATTGTATTCTATTGTATTCTATTGTATTGTATTGTATTCTATTCTATTCTATTCTATTCTGTTCTATTCTATTCTATTCTATTCTATTCTATTCTATTCTATTCTATTCTATTCTATTCTATTCTATTCCATTCCATTCCATTCCATTCCATTCCATTCTCCTTCTTTCCTCCTCCTCCATTCTATTCTATTCTATTCTATTCTATTCTATTCTATTCTATTCTATTCTATTCTATTCTATTCCATTCCATTCCATTCCATTCCATTCCGTTCTCCTTCTTTCCTCCTCCTCCTCCTATTCTATTCTATTCTATTCTATTCTATTCTATTCTATTCTATTCTATTCTATTCTATTCTATTCTATTCCATTCCATTCCATTCCATTCCGTTCTCCTTCTTTCCTCCTCCTCCTCCTATTCTATTCTATTCTATTCTATTCTATTCTATTCTATTCTATTCTATTCTATTCTATTCCATTCCATTCCATTCCATTCCATTCCATTCCATTCCATTCCATTCTCCTTCTTTCCTCCTCCTTCTCCATCCCATCCCATCCCATCCCATCCCATCCCACTGCACTCCACTTTTTTAATCAGTGTGTTTGTGAGATGTCCTTCATGACCTCGGTGAGTATATGGGCACCTTTTCAAGTCGGCAGAACAGGCTGGAGCTGGTTGTGGTCTCCATTTGACACCTGAGCACGCAACGCACCAACGGTAACATGGCCTCCCGATCCAATTCCCCCAGTCCTCTTCTGCTCAGTCTTGCCAAGAGTTGAGAAGCCTCCTCCAGGTTCTTCTCTTTGCATCGCTTCACGGAGCCTCTAAGATATGCAGACGACAACCCCACCATTAGAATCTTAACGTCACAAAGGATCAAGTCTAGCTTCAAGAATTGCTCCAAAACACGTTCTTCTATCTTACTTCAAATGAAGACCTGCAGAGATTCCCAATCCTTTGCTCAAATATCTAAGGAGATTCTCAAGTCATCCAGGTCATGGCTGTCCGAAAGATGCTTTTTTTTCAAGAGGCCACTGGAGTTTCTGGGTTTTTTTCCCCCTTCTCTGAAGGCTTCTCATCCAAGAAGCTTCTTCAGCTCTCTGAGAGCTTCTTGTGGTTGCAGGAACTGGGTATGTCTAGTTTAATGAAAAGAAGGACTAGGGGTGACATGATAGCAGTCTTCCAATATCTCAGGGGCTGCCCCAAAGAAGAGGGAGTCAAGCTATTCTCCAAAGCACTTGAAGGCAGGACAAGAAGCAATGGGTGGAAACCAATCAAGGAGAGAAGCAACTTAGAACTGAGGAGAAACTTCCTGACAGTGAGAACAATTAACCAGTGGAACAACTTGCCTCCAGAAGTTGTGGATGCTCCAACACTGGAAGTTTTGAAGAAGATGTTGGATAACCATTTGTCTGAAGTGGTGTAGGGTTTCCTGCCTAAGCAGGGGTTGGACTAGAAGACCTCCAAGGTCCCTTCCAATTCTGTTATTCTATTCTATTCTATTCTATTCTATTCTATTCTATTCTATTCTATTCTATTCTATTCTATTCTATTCTATTCTATTCTATATGGATGAGAAGCGAAGAAGCTTCTTGGATGAGAAGCAAAACCTCTTCAAAGAAAAACCAGAAAGTCCAATTGTCTCTTGAAAAAAAACACCTTTTGGGACATTGCTCAAATATACTGAAATGCCAACTCTCAAAACGTGGGAGCATTTGTTCATTTTGGCTAGGAATTCTGGGATATTTGAAGGACAAATCACAGGAAGACTGATATATAGGAATAGGAATATTGCAAAATCGAATTTGGGTCGGTCACCGGGACCAGAGATTTACTCTTCCAAACTTTTGGACTCATGCCGTGGTAACTTCGAACGGTCACTAAATGAACTCTCGTAAGTCAAGGACTACGCTTATTCCTTATTGGCCAAGTGTGATTGGACACACAAGGAATTTGTCTCCAGTGTATTAGCTCTCAGTGTACAATACGAAGTGGTTAATCATCAATCATAAATCGCAAGATACAAGCGATAAATCATAGATACCCATAGGAGAAGGAAAGGAGGAGAAGGAAAACAGTAGGAAAGATAAGAAAATAGTCAAATTACGAAGGAGTCTAAAATCACTTAACCACCGCGTGACGGACTTAACAACCGCGGCAATTCCTTTGATGAAAAAAAGGTCGTAAAACGGGGCGAAACTCAACAAAGGTCTCCTTTAGCAACGGAAACGTGCAGCTCTGTTGCGATCGTAAATCGAGGACTACTTGTATAGGATTGGGCAGTCTGCTAAATTATCAATCACGAGTTGATAGAAAGCGAGTAAGGAGAACATTCAGTGCATGAAATTGAACCCAAGACTTGGCTTCCGGAAAATCCCTGACCCTGATTTAAACCCACTTAATATCGGACGTTAACACAATTGAGGGAGTCTGGAGGTATTTCACGAGAAGAGTCCTCCACTCCTCTGCTCACAATAAAATACCTTATGCCACCAGATTCCAAATTTTGGGCTTAGACAACTTAGAACTACGCCGACTTCGGTCTGTCCTAAGCGTAGTACGCAAAATTGTCTGCTACAACGTCTTACCTGTCAATGACTACTTCAGCTTCATCCGCAATAATACACGAGCACACAATAGATACAAACTCAAGGTAAACCGCTCCAAACTCGATTGCAGAAAATATGACTTCAGTAACAGAGTGGTCAATGCCTGGAATGCACTACCTGACTCTCTGGTTTCTTCCCCAAACCCCCAAAATTTTAACCTTAAACAGTCTACTGTTGACCTCACCCCATTCCTAAGAGGTCTTGTAAGGGGCGTGCATAAGAGCACCAGCGTGCCTTCTGTCCCTGTCCTAATGTTTCCTCTATTTGTATCTATTTTATGTATTCAATTCACGCTTATACTTTTTTTTTTTTTAATTTAATTTATATGCCGTCCTTCTCCGGAGACTCAGGGCGGCTTACAATGCGTTAAGCAATAGCCTTCATACTTTTGTATATTTATACAAAGTCAGCTTATTGCCCCCACAAACTGGGTCGTCAATTTACCTACCTTAGAAAGGATGGAAGGCTGAGTCAACCTTGAGCCTGGGGAGATTCGAACCTGCAGTAATTGCAGGCAGCTGGTCTTAATAAAGGGTGTTTTAGACCACTGTATTACCAAGGCTCCTTATATCTATCTATCTATCTATCTATCTATCTATCTATCTATCTATCTATCTATCTATCTACTTATATCTGTTATCTTATCCATGTTTGAGAAATAAATAAAATAAAATAAATAAAACCTCATTCATTGACTGCTCAACTTACTTTGCAAACTGCTGGAGGCTCTGTAGCAAAAGGAGAATGTGACTGCTGGTTTCCCGCAGCTGATCTGTCCCTTCCAGGGTTTGGTAAAAAGCTGTGCATCGTTCAAGCTCCTGCATTGCGATGTTGTTCAACCTTTGCAAGAGGAGGAGGCCCCTCACTCCTGGATCATCACCCCAAGAAGCCCCAAGGAGGTGTGTAACTTTCTGCAGGAACACAACATGGCTTTACCACCGAGTGCGTCAGGAATCTAAACGACAAGACAACATGCACACACCGGAAAAAGCTGAATTTTTCCATGCACGACAGCTCCAGCTAGTGGAGGCAGTGCTTGCCACGACTTCTATCCGAATGGTGTGAACAGAATAGCAGAGTTTAAAGGGACCTTGGAGGTCTTCTAGTCCAGAGGTCTGCAACCTTAAAATACTCAAAGAGCCATTTGGACCCGTTTCCCACAGAAAAGAAAACACCGGGAGCCACAAAAACCTTCTCGTGCCTGACTATTTCTTGAGCGGCTACAAAACTAGCATATGTAGTTGAATTAAACCTTCTGTTTTCTTCTGAAACTTTTCTTTTCTTGGATTTATCCGTGGTTGGCCTACTGGGGGTTGAAAATAAATCACCTGCCGGCAGGTGTTGCACATTGGCAGTTGTGACGCAGCAGAGGGGTGAAAGAGCCACATGCGGCTCCAGAGCTGCAGGTTGCTGAACCCTGTTCTAGTCCAACCCACCTATCCCAGTGATGGCTAATCTTTTTGCCATCGCGTGCCAAAAGCGTGGGGAGCGTTGGGGGGGGATGTCGTGCACGCGCGTGCCCATTCCCATAATTCAATGCCCCCCGTGCATGCGTGCGGGACACCCCTCCCCCCAGGCTCCCCCCGCTTTTGGCATGTGATTTATTTATTTTTATTTATTTATTTTATATCAAATTTATATACCGCCCTTCTCCCTGAGGACTCAGGGCGGTGTACAGCCGAATAAAAACATAAGCTACAAACATTAAAATACTATTAAAAAGATATATATAAATTTATATAAATATAAACAATGACAAACCAGTTAAAAACATTTAAAAGTGTTAAGCCAGCCCGGCTTGCTGAAAAAAGAAAGTTTTAAGGGCACGGCGGAAGGCACCGAGGTCTTGGATTCTCCTTATCTCTGGGGGCAGTTGGTTCCAGAGGGTGGGTGCCCCCACAGAGAAGGCCCTCCCCCTGGGGGTCACCAGCCTACATTGTCTGGCTGACGGCACCCCGAGGAGACCCTTTTTGTGGGAGCGCACAGGTCGATGGGAGGCCGTCGGTAGCAGCAAGCGGTCTCGAAGATATCTAGGTCCTATGTCATGGAGCGCTTTAAAGGTGATAACCAACACCTTGAAGCGCACCTGGAAGACCACTGGGAGCCAGTGCAGCTCACGCAGGAGAGGTGTTGTATGGGAGCGCCAAGCAGCTCCCGTAACTACCCGCGCGGCCGCATTCTGGACCAGTTGGAGCCTCCGGGTGCCCCTCAAGGGGAGTCCCATGTAGAGAGCATGGCAGTAGTCAAGGCGAGAGGTGACGAGGGCGTGAGTGACTGTGCACAAGGAATCCTGATCGAGAAAGGGCCGCAACTGGCGTATCAGGCGAACCTGACAAAAAGTCCCCCTGGCCACAGCCGTCAGATGTTCCTCCAAAGACAGCTGCGTATCCAGAAGGACTCCCAGATTGCGAGCCCTCTCTGAGGGGGCCAAAGACTCGCCCCCAATAGTCAGAGATTGAGTCATCTGACTATATCGGGATGCCGGGAACCACAGCCACTCAGTCTTGGAAGGGTTGAGCCTGAGCTGGTTTCTCCCCATCCAGATCCGCACAGCCTCCAGGCACCGGGACATTACTTCAAGGGCATCGTTGGGGTGGCCAGGGGTGGAGATGTACAGCTGGGTGTCATCAGCGTAGTTAGGTTTTTTTCCCCTGCGTTTGGCTGGCTGGGGAATTCTGGGAGTTGAAGTTCATCCATCTTCAAGTTCTTGAAGTGGAGAACTACGGCTTTTAAAAGAGTGAACCAGGTCTGTACCGCTGCATTGGATCCTAATGCCCATCCTTTACAGCAGGGGTCTCCAACCCCCGGTCCATGGACAGACACCGGTCCATGGTATGCCAGAAACCGATGCATGCAAACAAACCAAGCCCCTGGGATAGGATTCAGCCGGTTCATATCAGTTCAGGCGAACCAGATGTAATTTTTATTTGGTTCGCTGAACTGGTTTTTCCAAGGACTGGCTGACCCCGCCCACCCCACCCCTCCCCTCCCAGGAGTCTCCACGTGGCCCGTTTTGGATGCCAGGTAAGTGCAGGGTGTGCGCGGAGGCTCTGGGAGGGCAAAAAACAGGCCAAACGGAAGTACCGGAAGTCCGGAAACTGACCCATTTCCACCCACTGGAGGGCCTCTGGTGCCCGGGGGAGGCCGTTTTTGCCCTCCTGGAGGCTCGAGGAAAGCCACTGGAGCCTGGGGAGGGTGAAAAACGGGGCTACCAGAAGTACCGGAAGTCCGGATACGGGCCCATTTCCTGTCTCTGGAGGGCCTCCTGTGCCTGGGGGAGGCTGTTTTCGCCCTCCTGGATTCTCGAGGAAAGCCTCTGGAGCCTGGGGAGGGCAAAAACGCCCCCCCATGGTGCAGGAGGCCGAGTAGGCCACGCCCCCATGGCCACGCCATGGGCAGCGAACCGGTTGCTGAAATTTTTCAGTTCCCCCCCTGCCCTCCGGTCACGGAAAAACCTCTCTCTACGGAACCGGTCCCCGCTGCCCAAAAAGATTGGCGGTTTCTGCTTTGCAGGCAGGATGGATATTTGTGTCGGATTAGCAAAGAAAACAAGAGCGGTGGGGAAAGATGGCATTACTCTTGTACTTATTTGGAGGAGGAAGGTGGGAATCGAACCTATAAATTCACTTTTCACAAATGAATAGCTAAAGCAGATTAACTCCCTGCTTTTCTCTCTCTCTGTGGTTAATCCTCATAATGGTTTTAGCGTCTCTTACCAAACCGATAAAGCCCCTTTTTCAATTCTCGCCCGCCCTATCTCGCCATTGTCTGTCGCATGTCTATACATTCTCCCCCTCGCTTCCATTCTCCTTGTTTTTTATTTTCTTCTTTCTTCTTTTTTTTTTTTTTAAAAAAAAATGGAATGGCTCAGGGAGATCTCTATCTCCATAAACACCACATCAATACATCCCCTCCATCCCACCACCTCCGGGTAACCTCGATACAAAGCAGCCCTAGCTGATTTAGATTTGATTACCGGCTCTTATCAAAACGCCTCTTGCTGAAAATCTGGGTTTTAAACCCCATAATTCTTTGATAAAAGAAGCATTACTGGTCTATTTTTCCCCAAAGTGAAAGCTGTAGGGAAAATCAAAGAAAGCAATCAGCCGGGAGACTAAGAGGCTAAATGCGCCAAGCCCGGATGGCGAGATAGGTGGCAGACGCACATGAAGATTTGTTGAATAAGGTCTCAGTCGGCGTCATGGTGACACAGGGGGGGGGGACGAGGGGCGGGGGAGAGAATTGATCAGCCTGAACTTGGAGAAATGCTGCTCAAATTCCCCTCCCTTGAAGCAAATTTTGGCACCCTCGCAGGAGGGCAGAGATGGCATTGGGGTCTAGGAAACTATCTAGTCCGTCCCCGGGGAAGGAAATTGGCCCCTCAAGCTTCAGAATAACACAGTTTGAAGGGGCTCTGGAGGCAAGGGTGGGATTCAAAAATTTTAGCAACCAGTTCTGTGCCTGGTTGCTGGGTGGGCATGGCCTACTCAGCCTCCTGCACCATGGCGGCAGGGGAGGGGAATTCCGCCCTCCCCAAGCTCTGGAGGCTTTCCTCGAGCCTCCGGAAGGGTGAAAATGGCCTCCCCTGGGTTCCGGAGCCCTCCAGAGGCTGGAAATGGGCCCATTTTCTGACTTTTGGACCTTCCGGAAGGTCCATGGATCTATTTCGGATGAGGGTGTGGCTAACTGATGAGGACTTATAAGTCCGAAATAGATCTATCTTAGTCTCCTTAGTCTCCCAATGGGCAGCAGAGTGCTTGCTGGCTGCCAGAAAAAAAGCCTAGAAACTAGTGGATTGTGAACTAGGGCTGCATAAAAATCTTGGTTTACGTAGGAAGACCTGGCTATCTATCTATCTATCTATCTATCTATCTATCTATCTATCTATCTATCTATCTATCTATCTTTGTCTATGTAAGTTTTCACGGGTATATATCGGGGTGGGTTCTAAATTTTTTTACTACCGGTTCTGTGGGCGTGGCTTATTTTGTGGGTGTGGCTTGGAGGTCATGTGACTAGGTGGGCGTGGCTAGCTGGTCAGAGTCATTTCTGGAAGGTCCTCGCACTTACGACCCGACTCTTAAGTCTCTCACCTGGCAGCAAGAACTTGCTGGCTGCCAGAAAGAAAAAAAAGCCCAGAATCGAGTGGATGTGATTCTACTGAGCTAGGGCTGCAGAAAAAGCTTGGTTACGTAGGAAAAACCTGGCTAGAGGAAAAACATATATTTATGTCTTCTTAAGTTTTCGCGGGTGTGTGTATGTAAAAAGTTAAAATCTCGGGTGTTTTCCCGCGTCATTATAAGTTTGTTAGTTAAAATGTTTAAAATCCTGGCTAAGATCCCAGCTCAGAATCCTCTAAATTCCCAAACAAAAACCTTTTTAAGGTCTTTCAAAAACTCTGGCTGAAATCCTAACCAACACTTTAAGGTTAGGCAACGTTTCGACAGGCTCTCTACCTTGTCATCTTCGGGCTTTTATAATATATTATATTATATAATATATATATTATTATATGTATGCACACACATATTCATCATCATATCTCTCTTGCATGTGATCTCTTATCTGTCCTCATCCATTCATCCTTTCTTTTTCTATCCTCCCCTCCTTCTACCTCTCTCAATCTCAACTCTAGATCCCTTTCTCTCCCCCTCTCCTTCATGTTCTTCCTTCTACTCCAGACCTACACTCCTAGTAGCATAATCTGGAAATTCCTAATCGGCCTAATGTCCCATTAATGGGGCTTCCTGTTTATTCTACAAAACAGAGAAAATCAATTGGAATTGACTCCCCATCAGAAATACCGATAATATCCAACTTTTGCCTGAGTTCCAAGTCACCAATACATTGACTTGAGAGAGAGAGAGAGAGAGAGAGAGAGAGAGAGAGGGAGGGAGAGAGAGAGAGAGAGAGAGAGGGAGAGAAACAACTTCTATTTTGCAAGAGTTCTTGTCCGCTGCTAATATTGTTGGCTTCCTCTTGCAATGCTAAATTCATTTATCCAGTGGTGAAATCTAAATTTTTTTACTACCGGTTCTGCAGGCGTGGCTTGGTAGGCATGGTGTGGCTTGGTGGGCGTGGCAGGGGAAGGATACTGCAAAATCTCCATTCCCTCCCCACTTCTGTGGGAAGGATACTACAAAATCCCCATTCCCTCCCCACTTCTGGGGGAAGGATACTGCAAAATCCCCATTCCCTCCCCACTCCTGGGGGAAGGATACTGCAAAATCCCCATTCCCTCCCCACTCCTGGGGGAAGGATACTGCAAAATCCCCATTTCCTCCCCACTCCTGAGGGAAGGATGTTGCAAAATCTCCATTCCTACCCCACTCTGGGGCCAGCCAAAGATGGTATTTGCCGGTTCTCCGAACTGCTCAAAATTTCTCCAGAATCTGTCAAAACCTGCTGGATTTCACCCCTGCATCTATCCCATTTCCCCCAGCCCCAGTCCCCATCCCTGGACTTCTTATATTGTGCGATATGACAGTTGTATCTTTTGACAAGAAGCCTTTCCTCCGGTCAAAAGAAAAAAGGATAATTTGCTTTTCCTCTTTCTCTTCTTTTTCTTTTCTTTTCTTTTTTTTTTTTTTCAAGGCGCTAATCCTCCCCGGGCCATTTCTGGGGCCTGAGAAATAGCTTCTTTCTCTCCTTCCCTCTAAAAAGAAAGAAAGAAAGAAAGAAAAGACAAGCTTTGCTATACAATGGACATCATAAACCAACTTCATCCTGCCGTTAAGATTGAGAAATCAGATTTCCACCCGGTCATTCCTGCGGGATTAGCTAAATCTTAGATCCACCCTAACCCTTCACAAAGCTGTCAAGATTAGCTTGAATTTATTTTATTCCAGCTTTTCAGAGAGGTTTGTGTGTGTGTGTGTGTGTGTTTGTGAGAGAGAGAGGTGGTTTCTATCCAAGAAGGATTAAAGGACTGTGAGCGAGGATGTGTGTGTGTCTCTGTATATATTTACCACGCTGTTATAAAGCAACTAACTAGATTACAGGAGAGACAAGCGGTGAGGAAGGGTACAGTTGGAACTCTTCAAAGAGTTGTCAGAAGGCACGTTCCCCTTCTGATGAACATTTATGTCTCCCCTTTCCCATTTTTTGGGGGGCAAATTTCCCAACTGATGATAAAGCAGCAGCTGTATCTCCTTCGGTCCCTCAGATGTAGCTGTGATACCACGGAGGAAGATGTCAACCGAAGTTCCTTCAGCACCTGAGCTGGAGAAGTGTCGCCAGAAGAAGCCCTACTCCTTCACCATCGAGAGCATCCTTTCGGGCTCGGCGGAGACCAGAGCCCCCGTCCTCTTCCCTTTCTGTTTCCGAGGTATTTGGGAGCAGGAGGACCCCAAAACCTTGTGCTTTTGGGGGAACCTGGCCACCGAGGAAGAAGAGACAGAGGAAGGAGAAAGAGTTGGGTCGTCCTCGTGCAGCTGTTGCTGCTGTCCCAGGGAGCAAGTCCGCACCTGGCAAGACGGTGCAAATTGGCTGGGTGAGGATTTTGGTTGGAAGGTGGGGTGCAAAAGTCTTGGAGGGTGGGGGTAGGGGGCTGCCATTGGGGTGGGGCAGCTCCCTCCAGCCGAACTTTATTGGAGAACTCAGGACTCCGAGGTCAAAAATCAGTCTTGGAGTTTCCTAAAAGTTTTTTGTCTGTTCCAAAGATGTCTGTTTTTGTTCCTTGAAGTGAATTTCCTTGGGGCTTTTTGGATGTATGTGTTTGTATGTGTGAATGAGATCAAGGGGGGGGGGAAGCTGTGAGGGTAAGGAGCTGCCATTGGGGGGGGGCAGCTCCCTCTAGCCCAACTTTATTGGAGAACTCAGGACTCCGAGGTCAAAAATCAGTCTTCAAGTTTTTGTCCAAAGATTTTTGTTTCTTTAGTTTAACAGATTAGCAGAGTTGGGAGGGACCTTGTAGGTCATCTAGTCCAACCCCCTCCCAAGCAGGAGACCCTACACCATTTCTGACAGATGGCAGTCCAGTCTCTTCTTGAAAGCCTCCAGTGATGAAGCTCCCACAACTTCTGAAGGCAACTTCTGTTCCATGGGTTGATTGTTCTCACAGTTAGAAAAATTCTCCTTGTTTCCAGATTGAATCTCTCCTTGTTTAGTTTCCATCCATTATTCCTTGTCTGGCCTTCAGGTGCTTTGGAAAATAGCTTGACCCCCTTCCTCCTCTCTGTGGCAGCCCCTCAAATATTGGAAGACTGCTATCCTGTCTCCTCTGGTCCTTCTCTTCACTAGAGTAGCCATGCCCAGTTCCTGCAACCTTCCTTCATGTTTTAGTCTCCAGACTTTTGATCATTTTAGATAGACTCAGATTAACAGAGTTGGAAGGGCCCTTGTAGGTCATCTAGTCCAACCCCACGCCCAAGCAGGAGACCCTACACACCATTTCTGACAGATGGCAGTCCAGTCTCTTCTTGAAAGCTTCCAGTGATGAAGCTCCCACAACTTTTGAAGGCAACTTCTGTTCCATTGGTCAATTGCTCTCACTGTCAGAAAATTTCTCCTTATTTCTAGGTTGAATCTCTTCTTGGTCAGTTTCCATATCCATTATTCCTTGTCTGGCCTTCAGGTGCTTTGGAAAATAGCTTGACCCCCTCCTCTCTGTGGCAGCCCCTCAAATATTGGAAGATGCTATCCTGTCTCTCCTGGTCCTTCTCTTCACTAGACTAGCCATGCCCAGTTCCTGCAACCGTTCATCGTATGTTTTAGCCTCCATTCCTCTCATCATCTTGGTTGCTCTTCTCTGCACTCTTTCTAGAGTCTCAACATCTTTTTATAGTGTTCGTTCAAGTGAATTTCCTTGGTTTTTTTTTAAATGTGTGAGTGTGTGAGTGTGAATGAGATCAAGGGGGGATGTGAGGGTAGGGGGCTGCCATTGGGGTACAGCTCCCTCCAGCCGAACTTTATCGGCGAATCAGGACTCTGAGGTCAAAAAAAATCAGCCTTGGAATTTCCTAAAAGTTTTTGTCCGTTCCAAAAATGTCTGTTTCTTTAGTTCATCCAAGCGAATTTCCTTTGGGTTTTTTTTCTTTTTGGATGTGTGTGTGATTGTGAGATCCACAGGCTTTGATGTTATTCTTCCAAAATGTGTTTGTGTGTTTTACTGTTTCCTTAGTTCATTCAAGCGAATTTCCTTGGTGTTTTTTTTTTTAAATAGATCTTTATGAATTATTTACAGATAAAAAAACATATAGTGTAATTTTCAAACAAATATAAGTTATATATGGGTATACAACACAACACATAAAGACAACCACAAAGAAAGACTAACCGGTGGGGTCGTATCGAACCCCCAAATACTTATTCATAGTTACATCCCGGTAAATCCTTTTTGTTCAATTAGCGTTGACTATTTTAAATGTCCAAACGCTATCTCATTATAATTAAGTATATATTTAATACTATGTTATTTATTCTATATTTCTCCTCTTCTTTAGCCGTATATACCAGCGTTCCCAGTTGCTGTAGTATATGGATTCTTTTTTGTCTCTTAGGATATACATTAATTTGTCCAATTCGGCACAATTCAATATCTTATTTATTATAAGTTGATCTGATGGTGTGTTTGCATTTTTCCAATGCTGGGCAAGTGCCATTCTCACAGCTGTTGTAATATGGATGAATAAATGCCAGTCTTGTTTGCCCACGTCTTTTATTTTATTTTTTTTTAACTAAATTTTTATTAGAATATAAATATTAAAAAAAAACATAACATAACATACACACAACAAACATTTATACAACATATAAATAAAAGAAATTTTGTTTCCTTCTTAAGCATTGTTTCAAAGTGACATTCTGCTTGTTATATATTTCTTTTTTTTTTATTGAAAAGTTTTACAAAAAAGAAAAATACAAAAATTTTCTTCCCCCCCATGTTCCCCCCATCCTTTCCCCCCCTCATCCCCCCTCCCCCCCAGACTTCCCAGAGCAAAATACAAGGTATTTCATTGAATCAATCATAAACTAGATTAATCTACTTATCCTCAAAGTACTAACTCCCCCCCTGAAACCTTAACTCCACTATAGATAACCTAATACTTCTAATACTAGCATTCATTCATAAGCTATTTGATATTTTCTTGTCTGATACTTATTTTGAATATAATCAATCCATCTTCTCCATTCCGATACGTATCTTTCTTGCGTGTGGTCCTTCAAATACGCTGAAATTTTCGCCATTTCTGCTAGGTTTGTTACTTTCAATATCCACTCTTCAATAGTAGGCAAAGAGTCCTTCTTCCAATATTGAGCTACCAGCAGCCTTGCTGGTGATATTAAGTTCAAAATCAACTTAGTCTCTGAAACTGTACAGTCCGTAGTTATACCCAATAGAAACAATTGAGGAGTAAATTTCAACCTTCTTTTCAAAATGATCTGCATCACCCACCAAATTTTTATCCAAAATGCCATGATTTTCTTACAGGTCCACCATATATATATATTCTTTTTTCTTGACTGTACACCGCCTTGAGTCCTACGGGAGAAAGGCAGTATAGAAATATAATAAATAAATAAATAAATAAATAAATAAATAAATAAATAAATAAATAAATAAATATATGATAATAGGTTGCATCATTACATTCACATCTCCAACATTTAGCTTGCAAGTTCGAGTCCATACATGATAATTTCTTAGGATCTAAGTGCCATCTATAAAATATTTTATAAAAATTCTCTCTCAAATTTTGTGCTTGTGTAAATTTAACATTTCTGACCCAAATCTTTTCCCACGTTTCCGTCATCACTCGTCTGCTTGTTATATATTTCTTCACCTCTCCTTAATATAATAACATTCGTTTAGCTTGATTCCGAGTAAGTAAGAATCTGGAGTTAGGGGGAAACTTGCACCTGTGATCTCGTTCAACCATTTTTGAATCTTTTCTCAAAATTTCCTGATCTGAGGGCAGGTCCACCACTGGTGAAAGAAATTGGCCGAATTGCACTTCCAACATTTATCCGAAGATCCAGAGATTTCATTGGTTTTTTTTGATGTGCGTATTTGTGAGTTTGTGAGGGTGTGTGAGATCAACAGGCTTTGCTGTTATCCTTCCAAAGTGTGTGTATATGTTGTGGGGAGGGGAAACGAGAGAGTTGTTGGGTTGCGTCCATGTTTCATCTCTTGGCACCCATCTGTAGCCTTCCTGGAAAATTGTCATATTTCAGACTTAGTACAGCTAGTCCACAATCCGGGTTCTCATTTTACCTACCTCGGAAGGATGGAAGGCTGAGTCAACCTTGAGCCTTGACGGTTATGACCGTCACAGCATCTCCATGATCAGATGATCAAAATTCGGACGCTTGGCAACTGACTCGTAGTTATGACAGTTGCAGTGTCCCCGGGGTCTTGCGATCCCTTTTTGCGACCTTCTGAGAAGCAAAGTCAACGGGGATGCCAGATTCACTTAAGAACTCTGCTACTAACTTAATGACCGCAGTGATTCACTTCACAAACCGTGGCAAGAAAGGTCGTAGAATAGGACACGATTCATTGAACGAACGTCTCGGTCAGCAACGGAAATGTTAGGGTCAATTGTGGCCGTAAGTCGAGGACTACCTGTAAAATCATCTTTCCTTCTTGAGCTGATGCCAAGACCACCCTCCCTAGATAAGCAGAGAAAGCATCTCCCTTGAGCTGGGTTGAAGACCACCTTCCATATCATCGTCATCATCATCATCATCATCATCATCATCATCATCATCATCATCTTCTTAACGACCCCATAATCTTTGCGGGTGGAGTATGGGCAACTGAATGGTGCTGAATGTTTACTGGCCGGATGCCTTTCCTGTCGCCAATGCGGAGTTTTGTTCGGCAGATAGAATTCTCATTGTGCCCAGAAAGAGAAATATCTGCCTCTACCTAGGATTGAACTCACAGCCTCCTGATTGTGAGGCGAGAGTTCCACCGCTAGGCCACCGTACCACTCCAAGACCACCCTCCAAGATAAGCAGAGAAAAGCATCTCTCTTGAGCTGGGGAGAAGACCACCCTCCATATCATCATCATCATCATCATCATCATCATCATCATCATCATCATCTAAACGAACCCATAATCCTTGTGGGTGGAGTCTGGGCAACGGAATGGAGCTAGCCGAGTGTTTTCATGGCCGGATACTTTCCTGTCGCCAATGCGGAGTTTTGTTCGGCAGATATATTCTCATTGTGCCCAGAAAGAGAAATATCTGCCTCTACCTAGGATCAAACTCACAGCCTCCTGATTGTGAGGCGAGACCTCCACCGCTAGGCCACCGCACCATTCCAAGACCACCCTCCACAGATAAGCAGATGGCCCTATCTTCCCACACCTTGAGACCAACGGACTGGTTCAAAGCATCTCTGGAGACCAACCCAACAGATTGTCCTTCCTTCTAGGGGACACCAGGTACGCGTGGCCCATGAGGCTCTTCTACCCCCTGGCCAGGCCTTGCAGGAATCACCGCGGCAGCCCGAGCGAGCTTCAAAGCTTCCAGCAGATCCAGCGACGGACACGGCGACATCGGACCATCTTCACGGAGGACCAGCTCCAGGCCTTGGAGACCCTTTTCCATAAGAATCAATATCCAGACGTGATCACCAGGGAACACTTAGCCAGCCAGATCCACCTGAAGGAAGAGAGAGTTGAGGTAATTTTTGGGGTGGGGATCGGGGACAACGGGCAGGGGTGGGGCTGCTGGGGGTTCACAGGAGTTGAGGAGAACATCTAGCTAAGATTCTGTGCAGTTCGGAGAACCCCCCCAAATCCCACTCCAGACATTAAGCAAATGGTCGTAAGTAGGACAGGTAGTCCTCGACTTATGACCACAACGGAGCCCCAAATTTCTGTGGCTAAGCGAGACATGTGTGAAGAGAGTTTTGTCCCATTTTACAACCTTTCTGGTCCCAGTTGTTGTGGTGAATCACCACAATTCTTAAATTAGTTGTTAAATTCTTGAATCCGTTGTTAAGTGAATCCGGCTTCCCCGTTGACTTTGGTTGACAGAAGGCCAAAAAGGGGGATCACATGATCCTAGGGACACTGCAACCATCATAAATACGAGTCAGTTGCCAAGCGCCCGAAATTTGACCGTGGGGAGGCTGCAATGGTTGTGTGAAAAGTGGCCCTAAAAATCCCTTTTTTCCGGTGACGTTGTAACTTCGAACGGTCACTAAACGAACTGTTTTATAAATTGAGGACTACCTGTATTGTTTCCATATTTTGCAACCGTTATGTGGTTCCACTTTGCGCTTAAAAAGGTAAAGGTTCCCCTCGCACATACGTGCTAGTCGTTCCCGACTCTAGGGGGCGGTGCTCATCTCCGTTTCAAAGCCGAAGAGCCAGCGCTGTCCGAAGATGTCTCCGTGGTCATGTGACTGGCATGACTCAACGCCAAAGGCGCACAGAACGCTGTTCCCTTCCCACCAAAGGTGGTCCCTATTTTTTCTACTTGCATTTTTTACCTGCTTTCAAACTGCTAGGTTGGCAGAAGCTGGGACAAGTCACGGGAGCTCACCCCGTCACGCGGCACTAGGGACTCGAACCGCTGAACTGCCGATCTTTCGATCGACGAGCTCAGCCTCTTCGCCGCTGAGTCCCTTTAAGTCACCTTGTGCTTAAGTTTATCCTTTTCCTTTTTAAAAAAAAAAAAATGATTTCATATAAAAACATATTAAATGTGTTTCATGGCGGGTGACGTAACGTCCTTCTCTTTGTTGTCAACACACAGGTATGGTTTAAAAACCGCCGAGCCAAATGGAGACATCAGAAAAGAGCGACGGCTTCGTCACTCATCCTTCCTGGAGCCAAGATTTCCTCCGAAGAGAACTGTTAACGGAACCGGTTGAACCCAGATTATCCATGCAGCAAAAAGCTATAGGTTAGCGGAGTTCACATATCCTCTGTTTTGATTAACCACGATTGATTGATCCATCAGCTCACGTCAGGCTGTGTTTAGTCGTTACACCTGATTGGATTCCATGCCATGATAGCTCAGTAGATTACAGTCCTTGATTTACACTTGCTGAGTGGCCATTCGATGTTGCAACGGCACTGAAAAAAGTGACTTATGTCTGTTTATCACACTTTGCGACCGTTTGCAGCATCCCCGCGGTCACAGGATCAAAATTCGGACGCTTGGTAATTGATTCATATTTATGACGGTTTGCAGTGTCCCAGGGGTCACGTCATTCCCTTTTGCGACCTCCTGACAAGCAAAGTCAATGGGGATTCACTTAACAACTAGGTTAACAACTAACTTATCGACTGCAGTGATTCATTTAGCGACAATGGCCAGAAAGCTCATATAATGGGGCAAATTCGCTTAACGAATGTCTCACTTAGCAACGTAAATTCTGGGCTCAGTTGTGGTTGTAAGTCGAGTCAGTTACCTGCATTTATTTCTTCTCTAGTAAGCAGTTAGCCATTACGCCGAGCGATTAGCATAAATTACGATTAAATTACGATTCACTTCCCTGCTGGTCTGACATACTTGTCCTCTACTTACGGCGACAACTGGGATCAGACTTTCCATTGCAGCCGTTAAGTGAGTCACACCTGATTTTACAACCTTTTTCATGCCGTGGTTGTTAAGTGAATCACGAAGTTGTTAAGCGAATCCACCCTCCCCCATTGGCTTTGCTTGTTCGGAGCAGGCTGGGAAAGTCACAAATATATGCCGTATGCAGTGATTACGTGATGGTCGTAAGTTCAAGGACCAGTCATAAGAAATTGCCTGAAATGCGATAGGAACTCCTGTTTGAGCACGGGGTTGGACTAGAAGACCTCCAGGGTCCCTTTCCATCTCTGTCCTTCCGTTATTTTTTTTCAGTGGCATTGTAACTTCCAGCAGTCGCTAAACGGATGGTTGTATGTTGAGGACTTGTAGTTGCTTTGCTAGCCAACCCAGAGTAGGATTTCAACATAAAAATTTTTTGCAAAATCGATGTTTCTAGTGAACGCTTCTGGCCAGTCGATGTAGCTACAGTTTTATCTGCTTTCAGCCCAGATGTTTTAAAAACGAAACACTCCGTCGCTACACAGGCAGACAAATAAAAAAATAAAGAAAAATGAACGTCGTGTTTTTTATTTCCTGCCGTGCACATGTTTTAAACCATTTAGTGGTGTGTGATTCTTGGAGACTTTCTAGACCAGTCCTCTCCGTGTTCTCCTGTCAATCACAGCTTCTTTTCAATTGTTGGATGTTCAACGTTGCATCAGGATTTGATGTTATCAAGCCAGCGTGTTCTTTGCTTGCCCCTTCTTCTTGTCCCATTCTTGTCTTGCATGTAATAACAGCAGTGAGAATTATGTATACGCAGAACGGAAGTATGCCTGTAGATGAAAATGTAATAAAGAAAATATTAGACTGTGCCGAAATGGACAGGTTAACGATGAAAATTAAGGATAAGGAGGAAACAGAGTATTATTTAACATGGGACCTATTTTATAAATGGTTAGAAAATAGAAGCAGAACTTAGTAAATTTATAATTGAGGATGATTAATAAAATAGAGGTAAAGTATCTGTAGTTATATATAAGCATAACACGATAAGCAATATTATTATTGGATTACATTCCCCTGACTAGGTGGCTCAGTGGCTAAGACACTGAGCTTGTCAATCAGAAAGGTTGACTCAGCCTTCCATCCTTCCGAGATAGGTAAAATGAGGACCCGGATTGTGGGGACAATAAGGTGACTTTGTATAAAAAAGAACACCGCTTGGGGGGGCCGAAAGCCCTACTAAGCAGGTATATACAAAAGTATGAAGGCTATTGCTTAATGCATTGTAAGCCGCCCCGAGTCTCCGGAGAAGGGCGGCATATAAATCGAACCAATACATAAATAAATAAATAAATAAAGGTCGGCAGTTTGGCGGTTCGAATCCTAAGTACAGCTCTCTTGCGTGAGCAGGGGGTTGGACTAGATGACCTCCAAGGTCCCTTCCAACTCTGCTATTGTTAAAGCCCGATAAATTGTATAGCGCGATCAGAAGTGAATATTATATTGTATATATCATGAGAATAATGGCTATAATTAAAATTCTATTCTATTCTATTCTATTCTATTCTATTCTATTCTATTCTATTCTATTCTATTCTATTCTATTCTATTCTATTCTATTCCTATTCCATTCCATGTTCTGTTCTGTTCTATTCATCTTCTCTTCTCTTCTCTTCTCTTCTCTTCTCTTCTCTTCTCTTCTCTTCTCTTTTCTTCTCTTCACTTTTCTCTTCATTCCATTCCATTCCATTCTTCTTTCCTCATTCTATTCTATTCTATTCTATTCTATTCTATTCTATTCTATTCTATTCTATTCTATTCTATTCTACTTTACTCTATTCTATTCTGTTCTAATTAGAGTGTATAATATTATGTGTACTCAAAAGAGATTTGATAAGGATACACCGTCGTTGCAGAAATGGAAACGTGATGTATAACAAAAGGAAAATGTATAATAAAAAATAATATTAAAAAAAGAAAGAAATAGAAATCAATCAACTAATCAATCAATCAATCAATAATAAGAGAGGTGTAATGGTGGCAGAAGCGCAAATCCCCGCCTTTCAGATATCCACTTGGCTTTTTTTGGAGGAGAGAGGGAAAGGGGTGAAATTAGAGGGTCTGAGTCTAAGATCAGCTAAACGACGACCCTGCAGAGTAGACTCGGTCGCTCCCAAGCCACTCACACACTTTCCCAACCCCGCTGCAGCTGCGAACAGAACCCGAATCGATAGCGCGCGGCCCCTTCGCCTTACCTCTACATCACGTATGTGCTGACGTCGCGAGGAGGCGGACCCACACGCTCCGTTTGCCACTCCTTCGAGGGGGGGAGGGCGTGGCTTCGGTGCGCACGCCGGGACGACGTACGTACGGGGAAGCTCTTCCGGTGTGCCTCCGGAAGTGGCCGTATTTCCGGAAGTGAAAGCCCTTGGCGGCCCAGGCCTGGCTTGCGTTGCCACGGGAGACGATTCGTGGGGCGTCATGGAGCCACCGGGGAGCCCGGCGGGGTGCGCCGCTTCGGCCCAGGCGCTGGTGCCCGTCCAGGCCGAGGCTTCGGCCGTAGCTCTGCGGAAGGAGGCGCCTCAGGAAGCCCCCAAGTGCCCCAAGAGGGTCCTGGATGAGGATTCCTACATTCAGGTGAGGGGGAAGAAGCCGAGGAGGCCTTCGAGGGACCCGGCTGGCCGTCGCCCCTCAGCCCTCGGGCAATTTCCCGCCTGGTTGGGGGCCCAGGGCTCTTTTTTCTCTCCCCTCCTGGCCTACCTCGCAGGGTCGTCGTGCGGAGGGGGGAGGGGGAGGAGGAGGAAAACAAAATATCCCCCCCCTCAAATAAATTCCATTCCATCCCTTTCATCTCTTACTCCAATTTATAGTTTGCTAATATCGCCCTGGCTTTACTGTTTTTTTTTTCTTCTTCTTCAGATTAATTTTTATTTATTTTATATAATTTCTTTTCCCCCCCAAACATATCAAATCAATGCATGGACAGCGCGGCACCTGCCGGTCCTATATTCTAATCAGGGTGGATAAAAATCAATGATTTTTTTTTAAAAAATCAAAAAAAAAAATTCAGATTTTTTTGATTTAAATTGGATTTTTTTGATTTAAATTGGATTTTTTAAATTTTTTTTATCGAATTTATTTTGATAAAAAACTTTTGGGGTAAAAATCTATCGTAAGATAGTTTTCTATTTCAGATACATAAATCATTTAGTTGATTCAGCCTGAAATGGAGCTTAGTTATGTAGCAGGAGGCTGTATATTCTGCAACCCTGGGACTATCGGTGAGTCAACAGCGGGTCAAAGGAGTAGCAGAGATGACAGTTGCTCTTTAAAAATTATGATTTAAATCGAGTTGATTTAAATCGAGCCTTTTTACTAGTGATTTAAAGAGCCTTGATAGTACAGGGGTTTAAGGCACCCTGTTATTAAGCTTATTAAGACCAGCTGCCTGCAATTACTGCAGGGTTCGAATCTCGCCAAGGCTCAAGGTTGACTCAGCCTTCCATCCTTTCTAAGGTAGGTGAAATGAGGACCCAGTTTGTGGGGGCAATAAGCTGACTTTGTATAAATATACAAAAGGATGAAGGCTATTGCTTAACGCATTGTAAGCCGCCCTGAGTCTCCGGAGAAGGGCGGCATATAAATCAAATTAAAAAAAAATAAAAAAATCACGATTTAAATTGTGATTTAAATCAACTCGATTTAACTCAAATCCACTCTGATTCTAATACAAGTAAAACTAGTAGAATTAAATGGTATTCCTGGCTGGAGAGTAAAATGGTCATAAGTCACTTTTTCCAGTGGTGGTGTAACTTTGAATGGTCACTAAATGAATGGTTTGTAAGTCGAGGACTGCCTGTATTCCAATTTTTTTTTTTTTTAGTGTATTTTGACGCAGCATAAATCTTTAACAGAATAACGGAGTTGGAAGGGACCTTGGAGGTCATCTAGTACAAGCCTCTGCTTTTAAGGGCTCTGGATCATGTCTCATCCATGTTTTTCTGATTGTTTTTATGGCAGTTAAGAGCGATTTATTTATTATTTATTTATTGGTTCGATTTATATGCCGCCCTTCTCCGGAGACTCAGGGCGGCTTACAATGCGTTAAGCAATAGCCTTCATACTTTTGTATATACCTGCTTAGTAGGGCTTTCGGGGCCCCCTTAAGCGGTGTTCTTTTTTATACAAAGTCACCTTATTTCCCCCACAATCTGGGTCCTCATTTTACCTACCTCGGAAGGATGGAAGGCTGAGTCAACCTTGAGCCTGGTGAGATTCGAACTCGCAGTAATTGCAGGCAGCTGGCAGCTAAGTGCTACTTTTAACAGTAGTTTAGTCCACTGCGCCACCAAGGCTCTTGTGATTAACACATGTCTCCAAGAATAAAGTAGTGCAAAATCCAAAAGACTAAAAAGTCTATATATAGATTTGTAGTTTACATTGTTTGTTAAAGCTCTTTTTTTAAAAGGGTTTTTGGGTTCCAACCGCTCGACCCACCCTATCAAAAGAT